TATCTCAATCTCAGAGCAATTTAATAGTATTTGGGGTAGAGGACAGCACGTGTGCGAAGGATACATCTGAACCCTGAAATAAAGGAGTAGCTGAACCTTGTGGTTTCATCTCCTTGCTGTTATTATTTCTGCAGAAATTGGCGGTACAGTTTTGCATGTGGCAGTACAGTTTTGCATGTGCAGATTATCTCAGAAAAGCATGTTTCAGACAGCACTTAATGTTATGAACTTCCTCAAGGTGGTGGCAGAAATAGCTTTGGGGGAACATCCATAAAGGGTGAAAAGAGTAAGATCTCAGAGAAGTTTTAGAAAAGCCTCTCTAAAGTCTGAGAAAAGATAAGATCAAACTTAGTACGTGACTGTGCTAGAACCTTGGTCACTACATTTTGTCTTCACAATATGATTTTTTTTTTCAGTCCTGAAAACATTGAGTAATACTACTTTGGGTAGAGTTCAAAAGAACATTTAGAGTATCCAGAATACTAAATAAAATAAAATGGAAGGAAATAAAAGTATCATGTTTATTCACTGCTCTAACAAATGTTCATTGAGCACACACTGGGTTTACCAGGACTTCCTGTAGGTGCATGGGAAAAATTCAGGCACAAGAGAAACGAAAAGCCCTACCTTCTCGCTGCTTCTATGATATTGAAAGAACACACAAGAAATATGACAAAATACTAATTACACAGTATGTTCAAATGGGGCAGGTGTGATGGAAGCAAAGACAAAAGGTGGTTTTGCTGAGAAGAGGGGATGAGCAGTGAGGATTGCCTCCTTCCTAAGAGCACCATCAAGGAGGATGAGCCCAAGGGTATTTGGCAGTGGCAAGGGTGGGGGAGTTCTGTTTAAATATAAACCGAGGTACATTACAATTTTGAAGACTTTATTTTAGCAAACAGCAATTTTAATCAGGTGGCACCAAACTGAAATAGAGAAAAGGATTTTACAGAGCAGAAGGGGGAGCAAAGCAAGAAAATTTGGGGGTGGGGTGAAGGTGGAAGAGGATATAAGAAGGATAAATGCCAATTGAAAAAAATACAATAAAAAGGAAAATTATTGGATTTGCTATAACTTAAGAAGTTGCCTCATTTGGGAGAGCCCAGCTGTCTGTGTTTGGATGTTCTTAGGTTTCAATTTCTTACCATTGAGGCACTTACAGGTGGTGAATTAACACATGAGAAAATGCTTTAAGTCACAAATCCTAGGAAAGCAATTAAAATCATAGAGATAGCACTAGACATTTACTAGACATTAATGACTGATCATATAAAAATTAAAAAATGAAGACTGACCATGTGAAGTACTAGCAGGGATGTGGAGGAAATGGGGACTCATACACTGCTGGTGGGAATGGAAACAGAAACAATAATTTTAGATGGGAGTTTACAATTTTTTAAAAATTTTAGCACTTACCTTCTCTGTGTGTTAGGCATTGCACTTTGAGTTGTAACAGAAGAGAAATAAAACATCTCTTTACAAAAACAATTGTAAAGAAAATGTTCAGAGCAGAATTTTTTGCAATAGTCCAAAACTGGAAATAACCCAAATGCTCCAGAACAGATGAATAGATAAAAGTAGTGATATATATGCAGTTATCAGAATGGTACTTGGAAATACGAAGAATGAACTGCTCATATAAGCACCATTTTTGAATCTCAAAACAAGATTGCACACAAGGAACTCAGGAGGAAAAAAAAATGAATAAACACTTTGTGACTACAACCATATAAAAGCCTAGAAAATGCAAATTTACTGTAAAGAAAGTAAATCAATGGTTGCTGGGAGGACCTGGAAAGGCATGGAGATTATAAAAGGATGGGAGGCAAATATGTGAGTGACTGATGTTCATTGTCTTAGTTATGATGTGTTCATGGGTTCATATGTAGGGAAAAAGTTATCAAACTATAAATTTTAAATATTTAGTGCATGTCAATTATACCTTAATAATCCTTTAAAAACTGTTCAAAATGAAAATCCCAATCTCTCTTTCCAGAAACATAAGCTTTGGTAACTGTTTACTTTTATAATTAAAAGATTTTTTTAAATTCATTCTAGAGAGAGGGGAAGGGAAGGGAAGGAGAAAGAGAGGGTAAGAAACATCAATGTGCAAAACAAACATTGATTGGTTGCCTCTTGCAACTGGGGACCAGACCTGCAACCCAGGCATGTACCCTGACCAGGAATAAAGCCATGACCATTCAGTCTACAGGACAACACCCAACCAAGCCACACCAGCTACGGCTATTACTATTTTCTAATCCTCACTTGAGGATATGTTTATTGACCCTAGAGAGGAAGGGAGATGGGGCGAGAGAGGGCTGGTGAGAGGAGGAGATGGAGAAAAGAAGAGAGGGAGGGGGAGAGAACCATCAATAGGCTGCCTGATGTTCCTGCCCTGACCAGGGATCAAACATGGCAACCTTTCAGTGTACTAGACGATATGCTCTAACCAGTTGAGCCACTTAGCCAGGGCGGTAACTGCTCATTCTACAAGCTCTTTTCTCATCCTAATCCTCAGTGGCGGTTGGTGAGCAATAAAGGCAATTTCTTGTGTCAACAGGAACACAGGCTAGACTGGGTCTCAAAAACCACATCCCTGGACTATGAAATCTCTCTTCTCCTTATCCTTGCTTTTCTGCCTGCAGAGCAATGACGTTGATGAGATGGACATCCCAGGAAGGGAATGGAACTCCAAAAACTTTAGATTGTTTTACCTGACAGTGACCTGTTGCACAAGATACATGGGTGTGAAGCCTAGAGAATTCCTGCAGTCCCTAGAATATATGTGGATGAACTTTTAGAAGCAGCACAATCCATCTATGTGGCTGAGTATCCTCCACTCCCTATTAATCCAGTCTTCTGGATTACCAATTATGATCACCCTGACCCTGCAGTATTACAAATGAATTCTGTACATCATGGCATACAGCTCTTTTGCATAATCTGGGGGAAAGACTCCATTCAACTTTACCTGGCATTGAATAAACTGTGAACAAGCAAAACATCCATGGTGTTTCTAGAAGCACTGGAGGTTGTCACAATTGCTTCCTCTTCAGGATGACCTGAGCCCCCACACACAGAAAAAAATCTTGGGATCCAGACCACAAAGCCAAGATACGTATCACAGGAGACTATCAGTCAGCTAGAACTGCTGTAAAAGTACCACCAACTGGGTGGCTTAGACAACAGAAATTTATTTTTCTACCCATATGGAGTCTAGAAATCTGAGGTGTCAAATCTGAGGCCTCTTTCTTTGGCTTGCAGATGGTGATCTTCCTTCTGTGCATATCTCTGTCCTCACCTCTTTTATTAAGGACACCATTCACACTGCATAAGAGTCTACCGTAATGACTTCATTTTAATGTAGTGCGGTGAAGTCTAGGTTCTTGAACTTAATTCATTCCAGAAGGCGGTTCGAGAAGCGATTTGTTCAAAAACCGAATCATACTCACACTCACACATTCTCTCCTTTGTCTGTCACCTGAGGAACATGTGACTGATTATACATGATTAGCATGAAAGGGTTGTCAGGACAAGACCAAAGTTGTTTACAACTGAGACTTTTTTTTCTGTGAACTTGGTCAAGAATCGAATTGTTCAAGATGGGGGACGTTGGAGAATCGAAGTTTGACTGGTGTCTCTTTTAAAAGGTCATGTCCAAATATAGTCACATTTTGAAGTGCTGGGGGTGAGGACTTCGACATAGAAATTTTGGGGTATACAACTCAGCCCCTAACAAAGGCTCTGGATCATACTGCAAGTTAAGAACAAAAGTGGACAGCTTCATTCATTCATTCATTTGCAATTATATTGACTTCTCTGAAACACAAAGCTTGGGATCCAATGAAATCTGTTCACCCCTTCATGCTGGCAGAGGTCGATTCTGCTTTGAAACCACCCCTCAAAGTGAAAAGAACACCCGATTTAAAGGTAATTAAACTAAAAAGTCTTTATTATTGCATAAACCAAAGAAAAGTGTGGCACACAACTCCTGGGTTGGTGAAACTACAAAGACTTATCACAAGCCTCATGTGACACCAATATTTCTAAGAAATGTAGTCTTTATTTGCAAGACATCACCCAGAATTCAGATCAGGTACTCTGGGCTGACACTGGGTCACATCCATGCCCTAAGTTAGGAGGAAATGAGCATCCCTATGGGTTCCATTTGCCCATCACTTCCATAAGCAATGAGAGAACTCAAAGCAGTTTCCCTAAGCACGTGGGGCAGTGACTGATGTACATTGTGGGGAGCGGCTAGGTGGCAGAGGTGAAATTACTTCTGGCACAGAAACTGGCAGTGACTTAAATCTAGCTGGGGGTCATGGGAGGTTAGAAAGCACAGTGCAGCTTCTGAACATTTGCCAAGTAGCTGGGACATACAGGAAATCACTCCCCTATGAATTCTGGACATTCAGATGAAGGAAGTTTGGTCCAGGTAAACAACTGCCTCACAAAGGTTCTCCTCCTGTATAATTACTCTAAGCCAAGAAATATCACATTTTCTGCTATTTTAAAGTGGTTTGGCAGTGAGAACACTAAAGTGTGGAATAAAGACAGATGATTAGCTAAAGGGATGGTGACACTCACTGAACCCATACAGGCCTTGCTCCAGTGTGAATTTTCTGATTTTTTTGAGACTGTATCTTTGCCTAAAGGATTACCCATATTCTGCACAGTTCTCTTAGCTTGGGCTGCAATAAAATATTGTAATAAACTGGGAGGCTTATAAACAATGGAAATTTACTTCTCACCCTTCTGAAGGCTGGATATCTGACATCATGGTCCCCGTGTAGTCAGGTCCAGTGTCCAATAAGGACCAGCATCCTGATTCATTGAAGACCATCTTCTCAAAGGGTCCTCACATAGCAGATAGAGGAAGCAAGCTTTCTCCCAACTCTTATAAGGACATTAATCCCAAGTTCATGATGGCTCTACCCTCATGACCAATGTTCATCCTAATTACCTCCCAAAGACCTCACCTCCTAATACTATCATATCAGGCGATAGGATTTCAACAAACAAATTGTGGGGCACATAAACATTTAATTCATAACATCACTCATAAGGTCATTATCTAGTGTGTACCTTCTGGTGTTGAATGAGACTAGAGCTTTGGCTAAAAGATTTCCCACATTCAAAGCACTCATAAGGCCTTTCTCCAGTGTGAACTCTCCAATGTTTATTGAGGTTGGACTTGTTACTAAATAATTTTCCACATTCACCACATTCATAAGGCCTGACTCCAGTGTGAACTCTCTGGTGTTGAATGAGGCCAGAATTTTGGTAAAAGGATTTTCCACATTCCCTACACTCAAACGGCCTTTCTCCACTGTGAACTATCTGGTGTTTAATGAGGCTAGAGCTATGGCTAAAGGATTTCCCACAATCACAGCATTCATATGGCCTTTCTCCAGTGTGAATTCTCCCATGGTTATTGAGGTGGGATCTTTGGCTAAATGATTTTCCACATTCACTGCACTCATAAGGTCTTTCTCCAGTGTGAACTCTTTGGTGTTCTAAGAGAATGGATCTGTATATAAAGAATTTCCCACATTCCTTGCACTCGTAAGGCCTTTCTGCAGTGTGAACTCTCTGGTGTTTCATGAGATTAGAGCTATGGGTAAAGGTTTTCCCACATTCCCTACATAAATAAGGCCTTTCTCCAGAGTGAACTCTCTGATGGTTACTAAGGGTACAGCTTTTGCTAAAGGATTTTCCACATTCCCCGCACTCATAGGGCCTTTCTTCTGTGTGAACTTGCCAATGTCTAATGAGACTGTAGCTTTGGCTAAAGGATTTCCCACATTCACTGCATATGTAGCATCTTTCTCTACTGAGGACTCTCTGGTGATGGATAACTTTGTCTTTGTACCTCAAAGCTTTCGCGCATTCTTGAGGGTGAGTTTTTTGCCTGGGAAAGGCTGCCACACAGTTGGTTCCAGTGTTTGAATTTTCTTCGGTATTAGTGGTTTGTACCTGGAGAAATCCTGAAGTGGCCAAGAAGTCCTTCCCAACCTCCCCACAGGTAAAAGGCTTCCCAGACATGTGAAATTTGCAGTCATTCCCACTGGAGGCTCTGTTCACATTGATTGTGAAGGGTTTCTCTCCAGTGTTTTGCATCTGGTGCTGAGGGAGGTTTGCACTGAAATATAGTTGTTTCCCACATGGGCCCAGCCTGCACAGCTTCTGTCCATGATGAGTCTCCTGATGTTCAGCTGAGAGTAAACTGTCTTTCAATACCAAGGTACACTTTTCACACAGGTGGGCCCTCTGGGAAGACAGACCTGCCTTGGGAATCCTGAACTGTGACACTCTTTCTACAGAAACACTCTGCTCAGGTGCCTCATCCTCTGCCCCACACCAACAACCTAAAAGAAAAGAAACACTGGTAAAGTGCATGTTGACTGTGGCAGGAGGGGCAGCTGGTACACAAGTGCATGTTTGACACAATCAGGAGAGTCTACGCAATGTGTGCAGGAACATGAACCTCGTTTCAGGCAAGGATTACTTAGCAGTGCTGGGCTATAAATCAGACTGTGGGAAGCCTTGTGAAGTGAAGGACACCACTAAGACAGAGCACAGGGAGGAAAGACAGGATCTACAGTTCATTTCTCTGTAAACAAATTTTAGCAGGACCTGTCTGCTGGTGGGTACCACCTGAATACTGAGTAGAACAGTACTAGGCTACAAAGAGGACAAATGGGGAAGGAGGTATCACAAGGTGAAGGCAGGGGCTACTACTTGTTTATCTGAAAACATTCAGCAGGATCTTATCTACAGCTGACCCATGAGCGCTGTGCAGAAGGATGTGTCCGGAGTAAAGAATATCCATGCCCTGGCCAGTGTGGCTCAGTTGGTTGGAGCATCATGCTGTATACCAAAAGGTCATGGATTCAATCCCAGTCTGGGCACATGTGTAGATTGTTGGTTCAATCCCCAGTTGAGGAGCCTACGAGAGGCAACCAATCAATGCTTCTCTCTCTCTTTCTCTCTCTCTCCCTGCTCCTTCTCTGTCTAAAAGCAATGAAAAAAATGTCCTCAGGTACGGATAAAAAATGAAATAAAAAATATCCAACTGCACCAGAGCAATGAATCTTCAATGACTGCTGAAGAATATGTGTGCACATCATGACATGATATGCAGAAAGCAACATTGGAGAACACTACCGATGGAGCAGCATGAACAAAAGGTGAGATGTGGAGTCAGAGAAATAAGGATGAGCCCACTGGCCAGGTGTAAGAGGAGAGGTGACGTGTAGAAGAATTGTTAGTAGGCAGTGTCAAAAATGGAGATTAAAAAGCTGAAATAAAATGTCGCCACTGGCTTTGGAACCAAAATAAGGTGTTGGTATGGTTTCAACACAATCCAGACATTGTGCCCTCTCCCAGGGTGTCACTCCCCAGGACCAGGCTCCCTCTGAACCCATCTTGCTGCAGGCAGACTCATACCCACCCTGAGAAGCACCAAGGGCTCTCTACCCTACTCCCAAGATGAGCAACTACATGGCACCCACATGATGCAACTACTAAGGAAAGTAAAAGAAGTGAGTGGAAACGAAGAACTTGGTACATGACAGGCACGGGTAAGAAAACTTAAGTACTACAAAGACAACTTCCGAGGAAGGTCTTACAAGAACACTGCATGGACCACACAAGCAGTGACAATGTAACTGATGACAATTCCAATCACAGGCAGTCATAAAAAAAATGTTAGCAAGAGGAAAGAAGTCAACCCTTGGCTAGTGAGTTGATTTGCATCCAGACCAATTTGCCTGGCTAAAGCAACGGCAAGCAAGGTGGAATCCGTAACGGTGACTGCAAGATGATTGACCCTGAACTTTCCGCAATAATCTTAGGGGAAGCAGATGTTGTCATGTTCAAGAAAAGGGCAGTGCACACAACACAGTCCAACCAAACACTGCACCTACCCAGGAAACTGAAAGAAGGCAGTGCTCATGGTCCTACGTGAGAAAGACAGATCTCTCTGGGGAAAGTGAAAGGACAGAGACTAGCTCAGAACACAAGAGGTGGGTATGAGGATCTTACCCGGGGAGGTTATAAGAGCCAAGTTCTCCAGCATCACATCCTGGTACAGACGTCTCTGAGCCTCATCAAGGAGATCCCATTCCTCCCAGGAGAAGTACACGGCCACGTCATCAAAGGTCACACTGCCCTATCATAATGGGGACAGGTGAAATCAAAAACAGCCCCTTCCTAAGGACCTTCAATCCCTTCCCCCTTATATTTGGACCATGCCCATTCTCCTCCCAAGCTCCTCAACTCAGTGGGAAAACCAGGCCCTGGTGCCAAGGACACTTTTGTCTCTGCATAAACTCATTGGTCTTGAGGTCCAGCCATCAGTAACAAGCGGCAGGTGAACCAGTAGATATCTAGGCTGTGAGCCTGGAAAAGAGGATTCCGCCAGCTCCCACCAGGCAATTCCTCTGGGATGGCCAAAGTCACGCAAGTGTCAATACAAGGCCCCTGGGGCCATCAGACATGCTTCTGCTCCATGAGCACACAAGTCTTTAGACTGCATATCCATCACACCTCTAGACAGCACAGCCACCTGTCCACTGCTACCACCATCTCACTGCCCCATACCATAGGCCTTTCCCTAGTCTCCCCATGTGTTACTTTAATTTAATGACTTCTCCTCTCTACCACACCACTAATTGTAGGAACCTCCCATAGGATTATGGGGAAAACCACATATATGACCCCTGACACTGGAGAGATGAGATGGACAGAAGTTTAATAGATCACATACATTCACAGCCTGGGAGGGGAGGACACCATGCAGGGCTACATGGGGTTGTACTAAGGTTTTTGGTTTTTGTTTTTAACTTTCACCTGAGGATATTTTTTCATTGCTTTTTAGAGAGAGAATAAGGGAGAGAGAAAAACATCCATGCAAGAGAGATGCATCAATTGGTTGCTTCCCATAAGCGGCCAACCAAGGATCATATGTGCACTGGAATGGGATGGAACCTGCAACCTAGGTATGTGCCCTCACCAGGAACTGAACCCGTTCATTTGCGGTTATGGGACGACAATCTAACCAACTTTGCCACACCAGCCAGGGCCAAGGCGTTGTACTATGGAAACAGTGAACAACCAGGGGACGCAGAACGCAAGCTTTGTAGTATTGGAACAGTGAGGTGCCCTGGGTTCCAGCAATGTGATGCCACTGGTTAGTCTGAGTAACTCCATGGGCTGGTAGAGAAATAAAACCTAATACAAAGGGAAAAGGAGGAATTAGATCTGGTATTCTTAATAACAAAAATTGCTTGGCTAGTAGAACTTATCCACAGGAACACAGTGGGGAAGGAAACTTGCACGCAGGCCATTTGAGGCACTCCAGATTTCACCAGATGTCAAGGCAGCACATAACATTGGGACTTCACATTAGGCCTTACATTACAAATAGCAGACAGCATCCAGAATATGGCCAGCAAATTCAAATAGGATCCAATACTACCACAGACTTCCCATTGCTCCTACAAGTGGTGGCAGCTCCAAATGCATCCACAAAGGCTTCACTGTCTGGCTTGGTTGGTTCCTTGTCTCAGATTCAGCCACACAGAATCATGTGGCGATCTCATACTTACAAGCCCATGACTCTCTTCCACATCTGTGCTGCACTTGCTTTCCGTCAGTAGTAAAAACTTCTTTGCTCACCTAACCTCATTCTAAGGCTACCTCATGTCTAGTGACTGTCACAGATGACCCTATGTGCCCCTGACTTGATCCTTCAGGATGAATGAAACAGCCTGCCCCATCAAAATTGCCACAAAGTTTTGCCAGGTGTAGAGCATGGAGAATAAACACTAGCTCTGGCCTAAGTGTCATCTTGCTTCAAGTACTCCTAGGCCTCTGTGTCCATCTCATGTCCATTCTTCCCTTGAAAGGCCCTGGTTACCTGCCCAACTATACGGTCTTCCCAACATGTCCTCCCAACATGGCCACTTAACTGCCTCACTTGAGTTTGTGAAGCCCAAAACCATCATCCAGTACTCATGCAAGAGACCTAGTTTACAGACTCCACCTTCCTCAACCTGCATCCCATCCCCACCCCCCACCCCCCACCGATGGCTTTCACTCCATAACCTGAAGATTACCCCTTCTAAGTGTGAACATAGCTTACTTACCTGGATCCACAAAGTATCCACATTTTGGATGTTTCCATCAAGATCCCGCCCCAGATTTCCAGACCTGTGTGTCTAGCTGCCCAAGTCATGTGTCCACTCAGTCTCGGAAACACCTCAGCCTCTTAACACAGCCAAAGCAAAGCTCTTGATATCCTCAGTAAATTCCTTTCCTATTATAATCTTCTCCAACTTGGATGATGGAGCATTTATTCCTAGTGTCATAAATACAGCGGTCATCACTGAATCCTGTGTTCACTACCTCTTTCTCTACATTAGACAATCTGGTTGCCCTTTTTTCAAATATGCATCCAGAGTCCAACCACTTTTGCTAAGCTACAATTCTGGTCCATTAATCTTCACCTAGAGTCAGTAGTAGCCCCCAGCCTGACCTTATTTTCTCCTGCCTCACCCCCACAGTTTGCATTCTCTGTACAGTCCGATGGAGTCTGATAAGACCTTTGAAGACCACCTCCCGCTTCTAATCCAAACCTCCAATTACTTCCAGAATACACAGCCAACTCTCAGCCATTCAAGTTCCAACTCCTGCACCCCTGATTGTTCCCACATTAAAAAAAAAAAAAAAGAAAGAAAGGAAGAAAGAAAGAAAAGAAAAAGAAAAAAGAAAAAGAGAGAGAGAGAGAGAGAGAGACATCTGTAGTTTCCTGAACACTCCCAGAAGAGTTACATCTGTGAGCATCTGCACATCCTGGTACCAGTTCCTGGTATAACCCTCCACACTTTTTACATTGGTTGCCACCTAAAGGAACATGTCTGCACAAAGTCTGACAAGGACTTTTAACTCCAGGACTGGGGTTTCCCCAAGATCTGCAGACCAAAGGTCAGGAGGAATGGCACTTAAGACTCTAAAAAGGGCCCTGGCCACGCGGCTCAGTTGGTTGTAGCACTGTACAGTATATCAAGAGGTTGTGGTTTCAATCCCCAGTCAGGGCACATACCTAGGTTGTGGGTTTAATCCCCAGTCGGGACACATGCAGGAAGCAACCAATCCATGTTTCTCTCTAAAATCAATAAACATATCCTTAGGTGAGAATTAAAACAAAAGACTCCAGGTAGGTAGAATGAATATGTATATATATAGACTCTATGTTGTACACACCTGAAACTAACAAAAATCTTTTATGTGAACTATAATTTAAAATTAAAAAAAAAAAAAAAAAGGCTCTAAGAAAAAACCCTCCAGACAAAAATGTGAGTAGGTAGACGTCAGGGCCACTGAGGGTCTAGGACACCCTCTGCTTCCTGTGCTTCCATAAGCACCTCCGCAGACACGGGAACCTGTACAGAGGGAGGCCGCAGAGAAATCGGTCCACGGTGAGCTCCCAGGGCTCCCTTCCTGGGTACCCCTTTCTGACCCTAAAGCCTGGCGACCTCGCGCTGGCTGTCTAGCCTCCGTGCCTCCGCGCTCAGTGTCCTGTTACCAGCTCTGAGATATTAAACAGGGATTCAACCTCCCAACGCTTCAACCCACCTGTCACCGTACCCCATCACTTCTTCCTTTGAACCGCCTTTGGGGGCGTTTGAAACCCCTCCTGGCTTCTCGAGTCCCCACAATAAGGGACAAGCACAGCCTGCTACTCCAGCTGTCACTCCGCCTCGCACTCTCTGCTCCCCCCGGGGAGGAGGATCCCAAGGTTCCCAGTCCTCCCGGCTCACCCGCCCCTGCACGCCTTTACAGGGCAGCCCCTCAGCCCGTCACCCACTCCCACCCCTGTCACACCGTGTCACCCGCCAGTGCCTTATGGTCCCTAACACCGGGGCCCGGGCTGCAGGGCTCGGTGGGCTGAGGGGCGAGATTCTGGGGGCCGGGCACTCACCTCAGCCGGGCGCCTCAGCTCGGGCGCCATCGGAGTCTCTGGGCGGGGAGGAGGGTGAGGAGGCTGCCCTGGGCACCACGGTCCTTGTCCCAGCCCCTGCGGGGGTCACCTGGATGGTGTCACCGAGATTCAGACCCGTGTCTACGCTGAGAGAACCGCAACTCTAACGCCTTCTCGATCCTGTCACTCAGGCTCGAGTCAGGGCCACGGGAATAGCCGCCGCGCTGAGCAGGCCGGAAGTCCCGCCTGGGCGCGATACGCACGCTCCTAGAAATGCTTCCCCTGGCCCCTCATTGGCTGCTCCTGCGGCTTCTCTACACAGATTCTTCCGGGTAGTGTAGTTCCAGGCCGCCTGGTGTGTTCTCCATGCTGAGCAAGCTTGACCCTAAACTCTCACCTTGTGCAACCAGTTTCCCAAATACCTGCCTTCCCACAATTTGCCGCCCCTACAAATTCAGAGTTCTCATGGGGATGTACAGTATGGGTAATATAGTCAATAATACTGCGATAACTATGATGGTGTTTGGTGGGTGCTAGACTTACGGGGTAGTAACTTTCTTAAATTATAGGAATGTCCAGGCACCATACTGCACACCTGAAAGTAATGTAAAATAGTGCATTTCAATGGTAATTGGAAAAAATGAAGTAAAAAAAGTTAAAGGTACTTTGCTTTGTAATTTCTTTAAAAAAAGTATTGTTGAAAATTTTCTACAAGGTTCAACGACAAGCTACCTCTTTGTACATGTTAATAAAGTTCTGTTTTTATCATTTTTACTTATTTTTTTGTTCAATTTGTGGAGTCATTTTTTCATCAGAATTTGGCACACGCGTGATGTGGCTTATTATCTGATACTGTTGAATTGATCATCCTTCCCCATAATCCTGTACACTAGATATTGATAAGATGGGTGACTGAGTCTTGTTCCTAACAGATTTTGTTTCATGGTCACTGTTGGGTAAATAAAGTCTTGGAATCCAGACACCCTCTCCCCAAAGGTAGTGGTGACAGAAAACACTTTTTAGTTTTCAATTATAGGTGACATTCAATATTATATTCGTTTAAGGTGTATAATATAGTGACTAGACATTTAGGTTATTTATGAAGTGAGACCCCTGATATTTCCAGTACACACCTGGCACCATACATAGTTATCACAATATTTTTGACCATATTCCCTATGCTGTACTTTACATCCTGGTCTATTTTGTAACTAGCAACCTGTACTTCTTAGTCCTTTCACTTTTTTCACCCAGCTACCCAAACATCTTTCCTATCTGATAACCATCAGTTTCTTCCCCTTATCTATGACTGTTTATATTTTGTTTTTCCTTTAGATTCCACATATAACTGAAATCATATGGTATTTGTCTTCCTGTCTGACCCATTTCACTAAGCATAATAGAAAACACTTTTATTATTGAATAAGCATTAAACCAGAATTTAGTGCACATCACAGGCAATGTGTTAAGAAAGTGCAAAGGCAACCCTGACTGGTGTAGCTACTATAAATCAAAGGGTCACCACTTCCATTCCCAGTCAGGGCACAGGGCCAGGTTCCCAGTTGGGGATGTGCAACAGGCAATTGATGTTTTTCACTTTGAGGTTTTTCTTTCTTCCTCCCTTCCTCTCTCTCTAAAAGCACATAAAATCCTTAAAAAAAAGAAATTGTAAAGGCAAAAAAAACCTCCCTCTTATATATCTAAACAGATACAACCCATTACATACATGTTTTGGAGATAAACAATGTAACTAGTTGTCCACCTCTGGTACGGAAACATGCTCAGCCACTGGTTGAGGCAGGGTGCCTAGTGTGGTTTCTTTCAGGCTTCAGTGGTTACCCAAGGCAGTAGAGCTCAGGGTCTGTCAGCTACCTACACTCTTCACAGCAAGATCCTTCTTAGGTCAGAACCTAGACGCACACTCCCACAGCTACCCAGGACTGAAACTAAATTGCTAATATTTGACTTTACATATGATTTAGGCAGAGTAAAGAGGCAGGTTTACTTTACTATGGAATCATTGTTTGTCAGGTTTATCTCTTACTTGCAGAAACTTCCATTTTCTTCTTTACCTTTTTTTTAAAGATTTTTAGAGAGGGGAAGGGAAACATCAATGTATGGTTGTTTCTTGTATGCCCCCTACTGGGGACCTGGCCTGCACGTGCCCTGTCAAAGAATCTGTGACCCTTTGGTTCGCAGGCCAGCACTCAATTCACTGAGCCACACCACCCAGGACCCACCTTATCTTAAGAACATCAAAAGTTGGTTTAGATCTGACCTGTGTAACTCAGTTTGTTAGGCATCATCCCGCAAACCAAAACATCCGGATCAGGACACGTGCCTAGGTTGTGAGAGGCAAACAATCAAGGTTTGTCTTTCACATTAATGTTTCTCTCCCTTTCTCCCTCCCTTCCCCCCTCTCTAAATAAGTAAATAGTTGGTCTAGTCTACAAGTAAAAAAGTTAGCCCTGAAAAAAATTAGTCAAGTAAAAGAATTTGACAGTACTGTTTGTCATACGTGGTTCTTCCTGAATTTACCTAGTGATTGGGTTTACTATCTGTTAGCTAATTAATTGCCTTTATCCAGAGGAAAAACAAACTTATCTTTATGAGGGAAAATAGTTTTGTAAATTTGAGATAACTGTCCACTAGGATGAGGCCATTACCCTCCCACAGGGACTGGGAGACAGGGGAGCTATCTCCCATGATGTGTTGCATTTCAGAAGTCATGTTTTTATTTTAAAGAGATGGCTCCCTTGGCCTTGAGAAAGCTATTCCTGCACCTAAAGCTGAAACAAAGAAACCTATCTTTCAAAGGGACACATTTTATTTTTAACTTATATTTTAGTGAGGAGAATGGAAGGAAAAAGAGGCAGAAAAACTTCCACACGCGAGAGAAACATCATAGATAGGCCACCTCTGACACATCCCCAGCCAGGTACCTGGCCCACAAACCAGGAATGTGCCCTGACTGGGCATCAAACCAGCGACCCTGTGGTTCACAGGCCAGTGCTCAACCCATTGAGCGACACCACCCACAGGAGCACTCACTTGTTTTCAAACCACCACACAGAGTAAATAAAATTCCTAAATTAAATGAGTTTTAACAATGAAGCCTTCATTGTCACACAATCCAGCACACTAGGAGGTAGGCTGTTCTCAGGTTCATGACTAGAGGATAAAAAAATTCCACCATAATAGCCACATAAGACTAATGGTATTCCAGGAAAAGGTCATCCATCTTTTAAAGTCACCAGCAGAGTCTCTGAGACAAAAAATAAGCCAGTTCCATGGCCCAACTCATCAGAAAGGAAGAAATGCACACTCAGCCTTCTCAAAAATCGCCCCAATGGCTGGGAGAATGCTGAGGTCTGCTTCCTTAGATGCACTGCAGGTGGGTGACCTGAGTGGCAGAGGTGAAAAGGCTTTTGCAGAGAAGTGGCAGTGACATAAATCTGGCCATGGCCCTGCACACTTAAAAACTGCAATGCAACCCTGGCTAGTGCGGCTCAGTGGATTGAGTGCTGGGCTGCAAACCAACAGGTCACTGGTTTGATTCCAGTCAGGGCACATGCCTGGGTTGTGGGCCAGGTCCCCAGTTGGGGACAGGTGAGAGGCAACCACACATAGATGTTTCCCTCTCTTTCTCCCTCCCTTCCTCTCTCTCTCTGAAAAAGTAAAATCTTTTTAAAAAAAGTGCAATGCAGTTCCCATATACATGGAATTTATGCAGGTGTTCAAACGTACGAGGTTTAATAAAGGCAGATGGCACCTTTGAAAGGGATCTCCCTTAGCATGCTATTGAAAAAGAAACGAACACATTCCCTATCTAAGCTGTTTTTCTCTTGTAAATCTTGTGATTTCCAATGAGATAAAGCTGAAGCCTTTCTCACATTCACTGCAGTCATGTCTTTTCCCAGTGTGAACTCTGACATGTACTTAGACTTGAGTTTTGGCTCAAGGATTTCTCATATTCCCCACATTTTAAGGCCATTATCCAGTGTGAACTAAAGGAACAAAGCTTTAGCTCAAGAATTTCCCACATTTGCTTCCCTTATAAAGTCTTTCTCTAGTGTGAACTCTCCTACGGTTAACGAGACTGAGGTATACAGCAAAGGATTTCTCACAATCAATGCACTTAGGAGGTCTTTCTCCAGTGTGAACTCTCTGATGATAATGGAAGGTAGAGATTTGGTGAAATTGTTTGCCACATTCACTGCATACAAAAGGTCTTTCTCTAGTGTGAACTCTCCTGCGTTAAATAAAATTGGAGTTTGCAGCAAAGGCTTTCCCACATTCACTGCACTCACAAAGCCTTTTTTCCAGTGTGAACTCTCTGGTGTTGAATCAGACTTGAACTTTCGCTAAATGATTTTCCACATTCCCCACATTCATAAAGCTTTTCTCCAGTGTAAACTCTGAGGTGTTTAATGAGGTTATATTTGCAGCTAAAAGATTTGCTACATTCACTGCACACAATAGGCCTTTGTCCAGTGTGAACTTTCCGATGGGAACTGATACTAGAGCTTTGTTTGAAGGATTTTCCACATTCATTGCACTGATGAGGCCTTTCTTCAGTGTGAACTCTCTGGTGGGAAATGAGGCTGAATTTTTGGTTAAAGGATTTCCCACATCCACCACACCCATAAGGCCTTACTCTGGTGTGAGTATTTTGGTGTACAATGAGGTTGGATTTGTACCTAAATGATTTCCCACATTCACCACACTCATAAGGTCTTTCTCCAGTGTGAACTCTCCTGTGTGTAGTGAGGTGGGAGTTTTGGGTAAATGATTTCCCACACTCTGTACATTCATAAGGGCTTTCCCTGATTTTTCATCTCCAGGATTCAATGTCATGGGACTTGCTAAATAATGTTCCACAGTCTCCTTAGTCAAAAGCTCTTTCTCCTGTGTGAAAACTCTGATGTCTAATGAGGCTACCATTTTTGCTAAACAATTTCTCACATCCACTGGACATAAAACAACCTTCTCTAGTGAGGACTCTCTGGTGCCAAACAAGCATGTGTTTGTGGCTGAAGGATTTCATGCATTCTCCCCAGTTGTTGAGAGTTGAGAATTGAGCCTTTCCTTTCTGAAAAACTGCCACACACTTGGCTCCGCTGTTTGATTTCTGCTTGGTGTAAAAGATCCGTTCCTGAAGAAATTCAGAGCTGGCCAAGAAGTCCTTCCCAATATCCCTGAAGATAATTGTCTTCCCTGAGACATTCAGTTTGCAGCTCTTCACAAACGAAGCTCTGCTCACAAGACTTATGAAGAGTTTCTCTCCAACATGCTGCTTCTGATGAAGGTATGCACTGACATGTAATTTTTTCCCATACACATCACACCTGTACAGCGTCTGCTTGTCATGAGTTCTCCGGTGCTCAACCAAATGCAAAATGTCACTCAAGATCAAGCCAAACTTTTCACAGGGGTGGGCCTTCTTGGGAGACAGATCAGCATTGGGAGTCCTGATCTACGATGCTCTTTGTACAAAAACACTACACTCAAAAGGGGCCTCCTGATACTCCCCTTCAGGGCAACAACCTGAAAGCAAGAAATGCTGGTGAAATGCATGCTGACTTTGGTACAAGGGGGCAGCTATCACCCACATGTGCCTAACAAACCCAGGAACAAGTCCATGGGATTATCTGCAAGAAAAGGAGTAGGTTTCAGGTTGATGATGGGGCTGTTTGGCAGTACTGGGCTATACAGATCGCAGGACAGGGAGGCCTCATGTGGCAAAGGACACACAACTTGCTCCTAGGCAAACAACCTTCAACAGGACCTTGTTTGCTGGAGACATGAGTGCTACAGAAAAGGTTATGTCCAGGTTCTCCAAAGAGAATCGTAACAAAGCTGCTGTTGGTCAGACACTGTTGAAGAATAAGTACACACTTCATAATACAAATCACATAAGCCAAAACCGAAGACAGATGCAGATAAAGCAGTGAGAAAAATGGGTGAGATGTAGAGGCAGAGAGATAAGGATTAGCTGTGGAGAGGATATAGGTATAGAAGTGACAAGGTATATACTAGCATTGGCAGGTCAGCAAGTTTAAAGAATGGCAAAGAAAATGCAGAAGTAGTGTGTGGCCACAGGCCCTGGCACCAAAACAGTAGTCCAACAGAATAGGTGTCTGGTATGATTTGAACACAGAACTGATATCACACCTTTCCCCAGGTGCCACTCCCCAGGGCGAGGCTTCATGTGAGCCCGTCTTGCTGAGCCTGGACCCCTGTTCAGCCAGGGGATAATTGAGGGCTCTTACCATACTCCCTAGATGACTAAGGATATGGGACCTGGATGATGCAATAGTTAAGAAAAGACAGAGAGCACTAGCCAAGAACAAGCCAGCACATGAAAGCCCATGGTAAAGAAAAGTAAATACACAGAGTTTCAAAGGACAGTCTTGCAAGAACAGCCCATAGCCCACATAAGTGGTAACTGTGCCAGCAACAGCATTTTCTGGCACAGGCAGGCCTGAGGAAATGTCAGCTAGAGGAAGCGGGTAGAACCTACATACTCAAGTGCATGGCCAGGGCAGGGCAAGCAAAGTGGGATCCATTAGGGTGACTGTAAAACCTCTGCCCCTGACACCTTCCATATAAGACTATAGGGAAGGTGTGGCAGCTGCTCAAGAAGAGGGCAGTACATAAACCTCAGCCCCACCAACCACATTACCAACGCAGGGGCTACAGAAAAAGTAGTGTCCATGATCCTGCGTGAGAAAAACAGACTTGTCTGAGTCAAAGGAAAGGGCAGGGAGTAGCTAAGGTGATGATATAAAGTCTGAGAATCTTACCCAGTGAGGATGTAAGTGCCACGTTCTCCAGCATCACATCACAATACAGGCGTCTCTGAGCCTCATCAAGTAGCCTCCATTCCTCCCAGGAGAAGCACACGAACACATCTTCAAAGGTCACATGGCCTTGCTATCATGGTGACAGATGAAACGACAAACAACCCCTTTGCTGAGGAGCCAAATACATCCCTCCCATCCCAACATCTACTATACACCCAACCTTCTCCTAAGCTCTCCAATGCAGAGGATAAGCCAAGCCATGGAATTACTGGCGCTGCTTTCTCTTCACAGGCCCATTGATAACTGGGTAAAGCCATTAGCAGCAAGAGGCAGATTGACAAATATGTGTCTAAGCTGTGGGAATAACACAAAAGGATGTACCCCATCCACAGGCAATTCCCCTAGTATGGTCACTGTCATGTCATTCTCAATGCGGTGCCCTAGACCACCAGACATGCTCCCTGTGCAACCACACACTACTCTTTATAATGCACACTCCTCATACCTCACAGCCAATGGCCACTACAATCAATGCTCCTGCCCCACACTTGTATTTCAATTACCTCCTCACACTGGTAAGGGTGTGATTCCCACACTAGGTGTCTGGCCACACTCACAGTGCCTGACACTGGAAAAATGTAATCATCATCGTTACTAACCTCACACACTCGGAGCCTGGAAGAGGACATCACACAACACACAAGGACACATCAAGGCTGCACTCCAGAAAAGACTGAGCAACCAGGGGCTGCCTTTGTAAGACTGAGAGGGTAAGATGTCCCAATTCCTGCAGGAGGATATGACCAACTTGTTTAAGTAACTCTGCAGGTTGGTAGGGAACTAAAACCCACTGTAAAAGGATCTGCAGGAACTGCGTCTGCTCCCCCAGATAACAAGAGTTGTGAGGCTACAAGACTGTATCCGTGAGAGTAGAGTGTGGAGAGAAACTTGTACCAGGGCCATTTGGGGGTATCCTGGTTTCACCAGACATCAAAATAGCACATCTATTTGCCTTCATTTTAGGACTAAACCACACAAGTTGGTAGAGCATCTACAGTATACTTAGCAAATTCAAACAGGATCCAGTATAATCAGACTTCCCATGGTTCCCATTAGCAATGGCAGCCCCAAACCATTCTATGACGATCTTGCTATATGTCTTGTCTCAGACTTAGTCACATGAAGCCACATGTGTGCAGGGGTTCAGACTGAGCCATCACAAGATGTGCCTCAGTTGTATGCAAATTCTGAGCTAAAGTAACTGAGACCCTGTGGGCTCAAGAGAAACTTCTGTCCCCATCCCCTTAACTATCTAGCAGTGATTTTTCAACTGTTGTGCCACAAGAATTTTTAAAACATGCAATACCTGACCTCTTTTCCCTTAGGGTGTCAAATTTAAAAAAATGACAACAGCCAACACAATAGCTGTCCAGTGTGAATGAATTAAAATTATACCTTTTTGGGGGTCAAATCGGCAAAAATTGTATTTTTTGATGTGCTGCAGAATTGTAGTAATTAGTTTATGTGTTCCAAGTCATGAAAAAGTTGAAAATAACTGATCTTGAAGAATCTCAGCCCTGGCTGGGTAGCTCAGTTGGTTACCATGTCCTCCTGAAACACCAAGGTCATGGGCACAATCTCTGGTCAGGGTACATACAAGAAGCAACCAATGAACACACAAATAAGTGGAACAACAGAGCAATGTTTCTCTCTCTCTCTGTAAAATCAATTAGAACACACACACACACACACACACACACACACACACACACACACAGAGCCAGATTCCAGACCATTTCCTAAGCCACGTCTCTGGTCCACTAACTCCAGTTGGACAATGGTAGTAGACCTCACCCTGATATTCCTCTTCCCTCAAGCCCACAATGTGTTCTCCACCATGTACCCAATAGAAACCTGTTAAGATCATGATAATATCATTTCCTCCCTCTGAGCAGTTTTATCTGAAAGCAAACACACATCCGGCTAACTTTCCACACCTGTTACACTGGTCATCCATATGGTAACACCTCAGTATACACTCCATACAAATAGACTCAGGACCTTGGGTTTCTCCATGGTCCTCAAACTCAAGGACTGGAAAAATGCAATTAAGAGTCCCAGGAAAGCACCCTGGCACTGTAGTCCTGTTGGTTAGAGCGTTGTCCTGATATGCCAAGGTTGCAAGTTCCACCCCAGTTAGAGCACGTGCAAGAATCAACCAATGAATGCACAATTAAGTGGAACAACAAATCAATGTCCGTTTTTCTCTTCCTTCCTCTCTCTCAAGTCAATAAATAAATAAATATTTTTTAAAATTTTTAAAAAACAAAGAATAAAGAGCTCTGATGCCACCACATGAAAAATAGTATTTAAAACAAACAAACAAACAAAAAGAGCCACGACCAGTGTGGCTCAGTTGGTTGGGCATAGGCCCACAAAGCAAAAGGTCACGGTTTGACCTCTGGTCAGGGCACATGCCTGGGTTGCAGGCCTAGTCCCCGGCTGGGGCGCAAGCAAGAGGCAACCGATTGATGTTTCTCTCATACACTGTTTTTCTCCTTCTCTTTCTCTCTCCCTCCCCCGCTCTCTAAAAATAAATAAATAAAATCTCTTTTAAAAACAGCCCTGGCTGGTGTGGCTCTGTGGATTGAGCACAAGCCTGCAAACTAGTGGTTCGCTAGTTTGATGCCCAGTCAGGGCACATGCTTGGGTGCGGGCCAGGTCCCCAGTAGGCAGCGCAGGAGAGGCAACCACACACTGATGTTTCTCTACCTCTTTTTCTCCCTCCCTACCCCTCTGTCTGGAAATAAATAAATAAAATCTCAAAAAAAAAAAAAAATGGGTATGATTCCAATAAGTGCAGATGGAAGAAGGAACACGTTATGTGTCTGCGGTACTCAGAATAAAGAGTGAAAGTTTAAAAAAAAAAAAAAGTTCCAGAAAACGACAATCCAGGGAACACGAGAGGGGGGCTGGGTGAGTGAGGGTCTGCGACAACCTCCACTTCCCGTGGTTCCACGAGCAGTAGGGGAAGCCTGTACTGAAGAGGCCTTAGAGGAATGCGGGTTCCTGGCGGGGTTCCTGCCCACGCCTCCACACTTCCTGCCCTGGCCCTGGCGCTCTGTGACCTCCATCAGTCAGGGGCCGTCTAACTTCTGGGCCTCAGCGCCCTGGGGATTCTGTCCATCAGTGTGACTTGAATTGAAAACAGCCTCGAGCGCCTCAGGGAACTCAGCAGGCCCTCCAGTCTGTTCTTCCTTTGGACAGCCTTTGGGGACATCAGAAAACTCGTTAACGGAGATCGTGTCCCTTTTTGTTTAAACCCCCATGTCTCTGGCTTCTAGAGTCCTCACATTAAGGGACAAGCCCAGCCTGCTACTCCAGCTGTCACTCCGCCTCGCACTCTCTGTTCCCCGCGGGCAGGAGGATCCCAGGGTCCCAGATCCTCCCGGATCACCCGCCCGTGCGCGTGTCTACACAGCGGTTCCTCAGCCCGTCATCCTGTCCCACTCCGTGTGTCACCCACGAGCACCTCACAGTCCGGACGCCGGGGCCTGGGCTGCAGGGCTCGGTGGGCTTAACGGGCAGGGCCCAGGGGACACGCACTCACCCCAGCCGCGCGCCTCAGAGTGGCCGCCGCCATCTGACTCTGCGGGAGAAACCGGGCGGAAGCGGCGGGCGAGGGGGCGTCGAGTCCCGCGGTCCTCGTTCCGGCGCTGGCGCGGGTCACCCGGGAGGCATCGCCAAGCCTCACACCCTGGTCTGTGCGGCGGGGACCACGACGGCTCCGGCGCCCTCTCGGCCCCTGCAGCTCGCCCTAGACCCAGCGCTGAGGAGGACCTGACGGAGTGAGGCTCCTCTGAGAAAAGATAAGACGCCCAGCACGACGAGGCGGCCGGAAGTCCCGCCCGCCGTTACCTGGTTTAGGCAACCTTTTCTGAACCTTCATTGGTCGGCGTCACTGCCAACGTCGGGCAGCCCTCTGGGTAATGCAGTTCCCAGATCCTCGGGCCAAGCTAAGGGAACCCCCACGAACTTCAGTGGAAAAGGCCACGCACCGCCGCGAGGGACCCTGGGAACCGGAGAGTCTGGGGCCCAGGATAGAGGGGCTTAGCTCCTTCTTAAAGGTGCCGCACTCAGATTTCTGGGGAGTACTGTCTGCATCCAGTCACTCAAGCATTTGGAGACATTATATTTCAGAGTCCGTGAAGTTGTGGGGCTAAGCATATTCTGTCAGATGCTTCCCAAAACTTATTGATTCAAATGCACTTATTCCGTATTCAGTCACAAAATCGGTCCACTTGTGGAGAAATACATTGGTATCAAAACTGCAACCGCATCTCATTGCTGGAAAGTGATTACAGGAACTATAGTGCATGAGGAATTGAAATAACCTCACAAGAACACTTGTAATGTGCAAATTATAGAAAGCTATTAATTTTTGTAAGTATGTAAGGCAACAGGTGCTAGACTTATTATGATCATTTCACAATGCATACAAATATCAGATCACGTTATTCACCTAAAACTAATATAACGTTATGTCAATTATATCTCGCTTTTAAAAATTGTTTTAGAAAACTACGAATAATTACTACATAGTGATTCAAAGATCGCGGCAGAATTGCCTCGAAGTATCATTGGATGATTTTTAAAAAAGGAAATAAAAAGGAAGATCTCACTTTTAGAAAGTTAATTAGTGATCCCTGACAGGTGCGGCTGTGGATTGAACCAAACCAAAGGGTCACCAGTTTGATTCCCAGTCAGGGCACGTGCCTGGGTTGCAGGCCAGGTTCCCAGTAGGGGGCCCATGAGAGGCAACCACACACTGATGTTTCTCTCCCTCTCTCCTCCCTTCCCCTCTGATAAAAAATTTTTTAAAATTAAAAAAAAAAAAGTTTATTAGTGATATCTGTGAAAAGACACGCACAACCACATAATTTGGGGAGCCTTGGGTTGGCAAGGTTTTTTAAAAAAGTTATTTATTTATTTATTCTTAGACAGAGGGGAAGGGAGGAAGAAAGAGAGGGAGAGAAACATTAATGTGTGGTTGACTCTCCAGTGTCCCCCACTGGGAACCTGGCCAGCAACCCAGGTATATGCCCTGACTGGAAATCGAAGTGACGACCTTTTGGTTTGCAGGACAGCATTCAATCCAATGAGCCACACCAGCCAGGGCTGAATTGGCAAGTTTTTTTTACTATTATTTTTTACCCTAACCCCAGAACATTTTTCCATTGCTTTTAGGGAGAGAGGTAAGTAGGAGAGAGAAACATTGCCCGGGTAGAGGTTCAAACCCACAACCTAGGCACGCTCCCTGGCATGGAATCCAACTGACGATGGTCCAACCAACTGAGCCACAACAGCCAGGTCTTGCACTGGCAAGTTTTTAAGGTCATCGTTTTGTTTTGCCATTATTATACTTACAACTATTGTTTTGTACCCCCTCAGTAAAGTCAAGCTATTTAGCACAGTCACTTTGTATATACTGAAGAATTGGGGAAACACACACACGCACACAAGCACATGCCAGGGACCATGCACTCCCTGAAAATATCTGACAAAGCCTTCAGTCTCCACACTGGGTTGGTTAATGAAGGTCTTTCCCTGCATGAACCCAGTCCCTAAACACTAGGTGAGATGGCTCTCCAGTTCGTAACAATTAAGAGAGCAACTGTTCGATCACCTTTGCATAATCAACAGAATGGCATTTCATATTTGCAGGCCCACATTCAATGGGAGGGGGTTATACAACTTCGAACACCAAGGGGTGAAACTCTCGGGGACCAATTCTGCCTACCAGAGTGACTTTGCTAAGGCACCTCTGGGCATGAAGACTAAATCCTGAGGGGAGTGTAGGGGAAGACACCTATAAAGATGGGCTCCTGGTCACTAACTGGGCTCAAATTTTTTAGAAAAAGAACTCAGCAGACATTTCTTCACAGGGTCCTCTCAAAGAGAAGCCTATCCTGAACTGCTTGCCAGTGCTGTTGTTCCTGCCGTCTGAGCCAGCCCTTACAGAGGAGTTCTGGAAACCTATTTCAACCAACAGTACTGAACCTTTCTCCATCCAATCAGAGCTGTGCAGCTCTGGCCACACAGAGCAGCTCTAGTCTGACCAAATAGGACAGTGTCTTTGGGACTAAACTGCAAAGATCTGGAATCCTTAATTGGAGGACAGACCACATAATTTGGGGATTCTTGGATTGGCAACGGTTTTGTTTTGTTTTGAAGGACTTTATTTATTCTTAGAGAGAGGGGAAAGGAGGAAGAAAGAGAGGGAGAGCAACATCAAATGTGTGGTTGCCTCTCCAGTCAGGGAGGAGGGGGTGGGGAGAGGGTTGGGCAGGGACTCCTGTCCACACAAACCAGCTACCCTCTGGCTTGGCCAGTACACTTTCCCTTTCCACCTAAATCTGAAGACTGCAAGTCCCTTCGCTGAGCTACAGAGCAGCCGCTTGGCCCCAGAGCTGTTCTACAGCTGTGCTGTTTTGACAACCATGCTGTATCACAATTGAGCTGTTTTGTATTGAATAATGTTCTTTCACGGCACCCCAAGCTGGAAATTCCTGTTGGCATTGAATTGAGGCCACCTTGACACTTGATTAAAAGACCATCCAGTCCCTTCACGCTGGCATCTACATACAATGTGAAGTGCATTTCCAGCAAAACCAACACTGGGCTATGTACAATGCTGCCTTCTAATGACCAGATGGCTTAGTCATAGACCTTGACAGACTTTGAAGGCACAAAGGTGTGCTGGATCCTGGCTTCTCCACTTTGTGGACCTTCACATGATTTGGAACCCTGGGATGTAATTGCTCTGAGAATTATCAGCAGTGGAATAGTAAGGTGGGCCCCCTTACTCTGGTACCAAGTTGGCATTCTCAGTCTTCTCATGTAAATAGAGACATGCTATGAGAATTGGCAGATAGTGGGAAAGTTCTGTTTAATGAAAGTGGGTCCCCAGCATAGTCTGGGAAATTGCCTGAGGAAATTATATTCCTGGTTAGGAGCAAGGAAAAAAATATGGATAATTTCTCTTTCACACTTATCAAGTTGGATTTTTCTCTACCCAATTACAATTATTCATGAACTATGAGAGTAAGATGCAAGAATTGCTATACCATGTGAATTTATTTTGTCTTGCATACTTCTAGTATTCTTTCCTTAGGGTTCGCATGTCCTCAGTCTGACATCCCTGCCATTGTTCTCTCCACCCTGGGAAGCATGTCCTGCAGCTCTTTAATTTGCTTTCACAGATTTCCCACTTCTGCAAGATGCACAGCATTCAGTATTTCATTTCCTTTACTAACTGTTGCTCACTCTTCAACCTTGTCCTTTCAAAATGTTGTCTTCTTTTTGATCTAATAACTAAAATGTAGACAGAATGTTATTAAGATACAAATAAATGAGAAACAGAAGTGGAGAAAAAGAGCTGAGGGAAAAAGTATGGAAAAATACAGGTGCAAACAGTGGAATTTTCAGGACATAATGAATGTTATTTGTCTGGTAAGGATGATGGAAATTTAAATGTTTAAACTACTGTCCTATTTTCTGTATTGAAATTTTTTTCATTGAACTTAATTGGGGTGACATTGGCTAGTAAAAATTATATAGGTTTCAGGTGTACAATTCTATAATACATCATCTGAATATTGTACTGTGTGTTCAATCCCCCAAGTAAACTCTCCTTCCATCACCATTTATTCCCTTTACCCTCTCCTACCTCCCCCTACCCCGCTTCCCCTCTGGTAATCACCATAACGTTGTCTGTGCCTATGAGTTGGTATTCAAGCTTTATAAATGCCCAGTTTTTTTAAAAAATGTAGAAAAGTTACAATTCAATAATGAAAAGACATTGAAAAAAATATGTTCTGAGGGTTAATAAGGGCCATCTGCCTCAGGAAGCATCAATTATCTCTACTCTTGGCCTGCCAGCCTCTTTCTGACATCTGTGTCTGGGGTTGCTTGGGAGGACCTTCATGCAGAGTATGGTTAACGAGATTGAATTAGATGCTGTGGCTCTACAGATTTGTAAAGCAACTATCCAAGAATGTCATGCCCTGGCTGGTGTGGCTCAGTGGATTGAGTGGCAGCCTGCAAATCAAAGGGTCACTGGTTTGATTCCCAGTCTGGGATGCGTGGGTTGTGGGCCAGGTCCCCAGTAGGGGGGCGTGCAAGAGGCAACCACACACTGATGTTGCTCTCCCTCGCTTTCTCCCTCCCTTCCCCTCTCTAAAAATAGATAAATAAAGTCTTTAAAAAAAAAAGAATGTCAGAGCTTCTACAAAATCAGGCTTATATGAGCATCTGTGTGGCCTTCTCCTCACAATTCGCAGGCATGGCAGGCATATTTCAGACAGGAGTCTTTGAATCTGGGATAGTGACCTCTGCTTTGTGGGCCTTGACCAGTTTTCACATCAGATTGAGGCACATGGTGGAGGCAGGACATCTGCTTGCCTGTGTTCTAAACTTGGGAATAATGTTACTTTAATAAGTATGTTTAAAGGAAATGTCTTGTTTGGGAAAAAGTTTGCTTACTGAACTCTGTTGTCAACCCTTGGAACTTCTCTGCAAAAGGAACCAAGCAACTACACAGTTGTTTACCACTCTGTAAAATGTGATGAGAACTGGTCATTTTCTGTAGATGTGGCTGAAAAATTCATCTTTCTTTCCTCAAGTTCCACTAACTCCCACTTAGCTTTGCCTTTGAAAACCAAACCATCATTTCCAGCTCAGCTTTCATGAGGTTTAGGATCTGAGAAAATAAACTGGTCAATTCTCTACCTGAATTAATGAAGTTTGCCAGTCTCTTCTCTGCAAGGAGGTAACTGGACTCGTCTTCACCATTGTTCTCCTCTTCATCTCCTGATAATGGTATCTTGATATTTTGATAAAGCAATGCAAGTTGTTGCCTTTCCTCAGCCTGTACCAGTCGACTGGAGAATAATACAGATGAATTTAGGAGCACAATTATTATGATATATTATGTTTTAATCATGTGACCTTTTGACTGAAAAAGAGTCACTAGTAGTCCCTGGCCAAGTAGTTCAGTTGGCCAGATCATCGTCCTGATACATCAAGGTTGCAGGTTTGATCTCTGGTCAGGATATATACAAGCAGCAACCAACAAATGAATAAATAAGTAGAACAACAAATTGACATTTCTCTCTCTTTCTCCAATCAATGTTTTAAAAAGAGTAGGGGGAAACCTAAAAAAATTAATAATAAAAATTTTAAAACTTTACTTCTGAGAAAAATAACCACTAAAAATTCCATGAAAACATGTATATTGGGGCTCATATTTTCCTTTTGCCTCGGGCTGTAAAATTGCCTGTGAGGCACTGGGTATAATCCAAATGGATTGGCTTAGTAACTTAATTGGGTGTTGAAACTCCAGGAGGATATGTTTTAGTGAATTACCTTAGAAAATTTTTTATATGTTAACATCTTTGCCTATATTAATAAAAGAAACTGAAATTGCAGTTACATAAATTGAGTCACAAGAGATTACCACAATAGATAACCCAGAACCAAGCACAATAGTTATACTCTCTCCTTAGCAAAATTTCTTCAATTTGACCTTCAATCTGTTTGCCTTCCTTTGACATACTTCCAAGTGATCCTAAAATGGCTACCTTAAAAAAATCCCCTCATGTTGATATACTGGCTTCTAATAGAGCAAGTAATTTAGTACATCTTCCCCAAATGCTACCATTACTCCCAGACTGCATTAATAATATTAAGTTTCCGGTGAAAAAGACTGCTTTTTTCACTCTTTCCTGCTTTGCACTGTTAATATTCCTTCCAGACATCAAATTCAGTCTAGACCACCATGTTTTGGGAAAATACTAGCATTTCATACAATGGCTTTCAAACATTTTTGACCATGATCCACAGTAAGAAGTAAATTTTACTTCACAACCATGTATCTGACAACTTTAAAAACCATCATTTCTACCCTGGCTGGTATGGCTCAGTGTATTGAGTGCTGGCTCACAAATCAAAGGGTCACCGGTTCGATTTCCAGTCAGGGCACATGCCTGGACTGCGAGCCAGGTCCCCAGTATGGCGCATGTGAAAAGCAACCATACACTGATGTTTCTCTCCCTTTCTCCCTCCCTTTCCTTTGTCTAAAAATAAATAAAATCTTTTTAAAAATCATCATTTCCTTTAATATTTAATGCTTTCTAATATATTCTATTTTTCTAAATTATACTCTGTCTTGTTTCTTTTTCTTTTCATTTTTAAAATAATTTATAAGTCCATATTCTGAAAAACACTGATCTGGAAATTTATAAAGATTATAATAATTTAGTGATCCTAAGAACTATGATCATGCCCTGGCCAGCGTGGCTCAGTTGGTTGGAGCATCATTCTGTACACCAAAAGGTTTGGGGTTTAATTCCCAGTCAGGGCACATACCTAGGTTCTGGATTCAATCCCTGGTTGGCAACCAATCAGTCTTTCTCTCTTACATTAATGTTTCTCTCTCACCTCCTTTCTAAAATCAATAAACATTAAAAAAAATAATTATGAACATCATTATCACCGTCATAACTAAATAACAACCTAGTTAATTTATGTATAATTTAAGGACGGTAGAGTTACTTAGCATGGACTTACTATATTGCACAGAAAACAGCAGTCCCACATATCAGGGCAACGCTTAAGGCTATACATGCAATTGTAATTACTTGAACAAGAGCAGGCCTATGTGATATCATCACTGAAAAGGAAAGAAAAAAAAGTTCTCATCAAATTTCATTTTAGAGGTGATGTCAGTTAATATACTAATCACATTGTTATTCCCAAGGGAAATGGGAGATAAAATCAGAAATCCCATTAAAAAATAGCATTCAGCCCTGGCTGGTGTGGCTCAGTGGACTGAGTGCTGGCCTGTGAACCAAAGGGTTGCTGGTTTGATTCCTAGTCAGGGCACATGCCTGGGTTGTGGACCAGGTCCCCAGTAGGGAGCGCTCAAGAGACAACCACACATTGATGTTTCTTTCCTCTTTCTCCATCCTTTCCCTTCTCTCTAAAAAATAAGTAAATAAAATCTAAAAAAAAACCACCCCAAACAAAAAACATTCTTGCCCTGGCCAGGTGGCTCAGTTGGTTGGAGTGTTTTCTTATACACCAAAACGTTGAGGGTTTGATCATTGGTCAGGGCATGTATGGTAGGCAACCCATCAATATTTCTCTCTCACATTGATGTTTCTCTCTCTCTCAAATCAATAAAAACATATCCTCAGGTAAGGATTAAAAAAAAAATAGCATTCTTAATTTTTGAAAACATGAAGGCAAGCTTGCACAGCATGTGTGAACAAACATGATTTGAATTCCCCCATCATCGCGGACTCCCCTTTTTCATCTGCCTCCTGTCCTGGGTGGAAGCCCTCTCTTTTGCTCTGTCTAGATGCAGGGTCCCTGACTCAGTGTAGCAGCGCCTGCCAACTACATAGCCTGATGGGAGAGTTGGCTTAGTTTCACAACTTGAGTGCTGTCCCAATGGGCTCCGGCTGTGCAGTGCTATGATGAAAGGACATTAGAGGGCAACCTGGGATGCAATTCTACCAACCTGCATCCCAGGTCTTGGGGTCTGGGGCCATCAAATGTGCTCTAAAGCTGTTCTTTGTAGGCTCAGGTGTATCATCCTTCCTATCATCTGAAATTAAAAAAGAAACACCAGTGTTACTGTTTGTACAAACTGAAAAAAGTGCAATAAGCAAGTACATTACTCAGCCACTTGCAAAATCTGACAAACTGAGGTGGCTTGGCCTTCCTTCACTTTGTCCCATCAGTGGTTCAGGATGAGGAGTTCAGCAACTGAGCTGAAAAGGGTTTTGAGGCTCAGCCCTCAGGGAAAAGTCAGCCTGGAAGAATGAAATGAACCTGGGCAGTGGAAATGCCAGCAGTGCAAAATGCTTCACTATGGTGTGGGTTATACGGATGTGCGCTTCATAATTTTTTCAACTTTTCTGTATGTTTTCAGATTTTCATAATGAAATGATGTGGGAGAAAAAAAGAATATGGGTCACAGATGGTTTCGATACAAGTACTGAAATTGGCTTTTGTATTTGGCAATGGGAAGATCATCAGGAATCCAGACGAAGGCGGTATTAGCGCTGATGTGGTGGGGATGCAAGCTTGACTGAAACAGGTTCAAGAGAGAACAGGAGGGAAGGAATTAAGTGAGTTTAGGAATCTTTTGAGGAGCTCTGCTGTAAAGGCCGGGACAGAAACAGGGTAGCTCCTGGAGAGCCCTGAGCAATCAAGAGGCTGGTTTTGTTTCTTAAGATGGGAAAATTCAGCTGTGGCCTGCTTGCTCAGTTGGTTAGAGCATCGTCCCCATATGCCATGATTGAGGGTTCAATCCTCGATCAGGGCACATACAAGAATCAATCAATTAATGTATAAATAAGTGTAACAACAAATTGATGTTTCTCTCTCTCCCAAATCAACAAATTTTTTAAAAGATGGGGAGATTAAAAAGCATGGTCATATGAGAATGGGACTGGTATTTTAAATTGTGTTATGACGGAAAAAGTCACCAAGCAGAATGGGAGAGTAAGTGGACTAGGAAAATGGATTAGCGTATTTCTAATAAAATTTCCTAGAAATGATATTGCTTATATTGACTATTATTTCTTATTTTCTGGTCTCTTAATACTGTGGCATTTGGGGTCATGATCCTAGAGACTCTCCCTCCTAGGGCATTTCTTAGAGAGCAAGGGACCCCCCGTGATCATGCCTTTGATATACAAACCAAGCAATCCTGATCAAACTCACACTCCAGGCCAATATTCCCTCTTCCCTAAATTACCCCAGGGCCAGGCACAGGACAACTAGGAGCCACTTCAATAGTCCAGAGCCTGCCAAAATTACTCAAACCATCCAACCCTAAGCTGACTCCATGTACCCACCTCTCCTCACCCATTCCTTCCCAGGAAAACGCCGGTAAAGACTCTGGACCTCACTCTCCCCTCTTCCTCCTGCTTCCTGACCAACTCTGATCCTTCCCCACATGGCTCTACAAGATGTGCCATGCCTGTTGTTTCTGGGAATCTATGCACATAAACGTCTTCCTTCCTAACCAGCATGTGCATGTCTGCATGTCCTACCTGAGTAAAACAAATCCCAGGTGTTTCAACTCTCTGGGTCACAAGAGGACATTCACATAGCAGACGAGATACCCACAGACTAGTTTTCATTTAACGGAATGAGCAGTGCAAGCACTTAAGGCCAGAACTTTGCGGTGGCGGGGAGGTGCTCTTGAATTTGAAGTAATTTACTTTTCTTGGGGGACACTTTGGGCTGCCTGGTGATTTTTACGCATTCTTGTGACCACTGATGGCCTCAAAAAGAAAATGTATAGTAGTGAAATGTAATTATCCCTTTTTATTCACTACTTCTGAAACAAGTAAATACAATGGTTGGCATTACCCATTAAACCTGGGTCTGAACTCACCTGCATAAGGCAAGCATACAAGAAGTGGCCATTCTATTAAAAACAAAAATAAAAAGGTGAAAGAACTTTGAACCTTGTCCATCATTCCAGAATTGTTAGTCTTTTATCCTATGGATGAAAGGAACTGAACTATTTAGCTAGATCCCAGCATCCACTCTATATCTTCATCCAAGGAACTAAGGAGCTCTGCTACGTCCAGAACGTTTGGGTTCTGCCTTGGAGCCTGCAGTGTGAGGTCAGCCGAGGTTTCCAAGTGATTTCCTTCACGGAACCACTTCAACCAATGGGGACACTTGACACCATGAGGGGTTGCGCGGGTGCAGGTTAGGCTGGCCAGTGCAGGCATGAGGAAGACCATGTCCCTGCCTTCAGTAAGACAGACAGTCAATGAGGAGGCAGGGCTTGCTTCCTGTCCCATGGTTCCTCTTTCATTTGTTTTTGGTCCTAGGCCTGCACCGCCGCCCCCCCCCCGCCCCCGGCCCCGCCCCGTCTCTCCTCAGCTTTATCCAGGTTCTCCTGCTTGGGCCCACCCCACCCTTTGCTGCCTCCATAGCAGAGTGTCCACAATGCACAACTGCATCCATTTCCTTCTGTCGAAGAAAACCCTGAGTCTCATGTTCTGACCCGAAAGGCAAGTGCCTGTTTCCTTTTCTTCTCCCTAAAACAACAGAAACAGTTGTTGGTTTCCTAGCCATGGACCTAAATAGGTAGTGGCATCACCTTCTGGGGAAGCCTCCCTGGTCTGACTGTGGTGTCTTTGTTGGTGTTTCCACAACATCTGTTCCTGAGTATTGCAGCCCCAACACCCTAACCTGTCCTCACTGATGTCCCCAACATCTCACCCCTGACTGTGATTCCTGAGGGGCCCACAGATTGGCATAGGCTCCACAAACAGTGGCCTCTCCCAAAATATTTGCTGAACACAAGTGAACAAACGAACAAGCACACCAGCCATTTCCCAGGCACTCAGCCCCTCTCAGGGTGATCTAAGTGTAGCTATTCTCACATCAACATCCACCTGTTCCCATTCTGTGTTTGTATCTTTCCCCAAGACCCGTGGCATCACCTATGGGTCATTAATGTCCTCACAAGATTTCTGCATGAGCATGGAGTCCACTGCCATCCCCACCCCACACGCCCCCCTCCCTTCACTGTTTTCAATATTGACTAGTTGTAACCTCTCTGGCTAGTACACACTTAACTCATATCTGAGTGCTTCAGTCCTACACGTATTCTGGAACTTAAGACGTCCAGATTTAGGATCATTGTAAACAGGCTACTTAGATTATCACCTTAAAGACTGGCTTATGTGCATTTACATGTAATGTTAGTTGTGGAAGATGGCCTCTCTGCCCTCCACCTGGGGTATTACACCCCCTGGCATGCTGGGCCTTGGAGGATCCCCTGAGACAGCAGTGGCCAAGTGGTGGGCCCTGTTCAGTTTGCACCAAGGTCCAAAAGAGTGAGCTCACCGCCTCCCAGGCCAGCAAGTTTGTTCACTGGACAAGAGTAGCATCCAGTTAATAAACCGGGGTGAGCAGAGCCTCCAGGAAGTTCTTAAGCTGGGAGGCTTGCTTTCCCAGTAATGGCCATGTACCAGGTGATGACGTTTTGGTCAACAACAGACCACATATATGTACAATTATCCAACAGGATTACATACTGCGACCTCTATTCTTTCTACGGGTCTTGGCACAAAGCATGTGAGAAAGCCATGCAATGACTTGAATTCACCCCTATAACACTGGGTGACCACTATGCAGTAAGTCCTGAAAGGGAGGGAATCAGATCCCACATGCCTATGGAAGCTTCAGTAACGGCACTCAGATGAACATCCCACACCACCAGGAGGCCGCTGTTGTACAACCAGTGAGGAGTCATGGACCTCCATGAACCTTTTGTGCCCTGGATTTCTAACCAATACCCTTGAAACCTCTCCAGGAAGGATGGCTCGCCCCTAACTATAGCCCTACAGGAAATATTTACGGAAATACAGGAAATATGACAGAACTGGAGGGAAGCCACCCAAGGACTCCTGTCCATCTCACCCCCTTTGCCCTGTGAACTCTCAGAGAGACTTCCTCCCTCTGAGAGGACTGATTAGCACCATTCCCATCTGAGTCCTCTCTGCGATCAAGCAATTTTTTCATCTGGAGAAGATAAAATAGAAACATGAATTCAGGGGAGACTGTGAGGAATGATGCATCCATGTGCAGTGCTGTGTCCTGCCCTCTGCCATGTGAGGGGCATTCTGAACCCACTGGGGAGCATTCCTCTGTCTTGTCTGAACTTCCAGTTAAGTCCTCCAGCCCCTGCTCTGCTGTAATCCTCACGGTTGTGGGTGATGTGATCCCAAGGAACCCAGGTCTCAGAAAATGCAGGGATTCTGAATGTCCAGACTTCATATTCCGAAGGGAGCTTCGTGTTCATGTAACTGAAAATCCTTCAGGACAGAGAACCAGGTAACTTTATTTCTCATTATTTAGAAATTTCTTGATTTTTATTATCAAGTATCTACTATAGAAACACTGAACAATAACAACAACAGAAAAACATTTGGGGGGAAAAAATCACTGGAGAGTCAGCATAACATAGTGGTTAAAAACATTAACTCTGGAGCCAAACAAACTCAGTGCTACTCCTTACTAACTGCATCCTTAGTTAAGTTTATCAACATCTCTGCCTCAGTTTCTCCATTTGTAAAACTGGGACGATAATAATGGCACCAACCTCATATAAAGTATTGAACAAATTAATAATTGAAAAGCATTTAAAACAAAGTCTAGCACATAGTTAAGTGCTGTATGTTTGTAAAACTTAAAAAAACTTTTTAAAAATTAACTGTGTTAATTTATCCATGGGTCTTTCCAGTTCTTATTAATATACGTTTTTTAGATGTTAGATACGTATTTACAACTCTGTGTCCTTTTTATTCCTTCAGGTTATGTATGTTGATGCAGTGTCCATAATCATAACTTACAGCAATTGCCTAAAACAAATTAAAAACTAATGTCCAACAATGCAGTAATGAGTAAACTGTGGACACTGATACACTGGGTTATTAAGTATCGCTTTTTGTCCCAACAACATCAGTCTCATACTTCTAGGCAATAATATTTCCACCATTAGTAATCTCATTTACTAATCATTTCTAAGGTTAATCTTGATCAACAGTAAATATACCGTTCAATACTATTTTTCTCTTAAATTCAAACTTAATATTCCACATTCTATTCCTTAAAGGGCACCCAGACCCTCCCCCTTATAATAGCAAAATCTGTATTTCCATAATTATGCACAAACTGTTATTATTAAGCTTCCCATCCAATACTCCAGCTCAAAGCAAAACAGTGTATTTCCAGCTGAAACACTTTTCCTAGCATAAGGTTTCTCCCTCAACAATGCACTCTGATCCACAGATAGTTGAGATCTCTTACAAAAAGATGTTTCATTCCCTACATTCAAATTCCTCAAGTAGGATTCCTGATGGACCATGAGAGGAGTTTGGAGTTTTCTTTACTCTTAAGTATCTAAAGTTAAATAAGGGCTACATAACTGCTAAGCTTTCCTCTATTCTTTTCATTCATTGGTTTCTTCTAAGAAAATATTTCCTATTGAGTAGTAAGGGGAAGAGTCTTACTTAACTCTTACTAAAAAAAAAAACAAACAGCTCCTTCTAATTATAAGGGTTTTTTTCAAAATGTTATCAAATGTACAAAGAAAATCTCCCATCAGTTCAATTCACAGACTTTCCTTTCACTATGACTCCTCTGGTGCTGAAGCAGGGCTGAATGACCACTGTAGGATTTTCCACAGTCGCTGCATATGAAGCGTTTCTCTCCACTGTGCATTCTCTGATGAATGATAAGAGAAGAATTCTTACAGAAAGCCTTCTCACAGTGATTACATTTGTAGGGCTTTTCTCCAGTGTGGTTTCTCAGGTGCACAATGAGGGAAGAACTCTCATTAAATGCTTTTCCACATTCGTTACATCTATATGGTTTCTCTCCAGTGTGAGTTCTCCGGTGTGCAATGAGGTGAGAGCTACAGTTAAAGGATCTTTCACACTGATTACACTTATAGGGCTTCTCACCTGTGTGAATTCTCCGATGAGCAACAAGGTGACAGCTCTGGCTGAAAGATTTCCCACATTTATTGCATTCATAGGGCTTTTCTCCAGTGTGAGTCCTCTGGTGTCTAACAAGGTGAGCCATCTGGCTACAGGATTTTCCACATTTATTACATTCATAGGGCTTAATTCCAGAATGAATTATTTCATGTTTTGTGAGAGCTGAGCGTTCCCTGAATGCTTTGCCGCATTCCTGACAGTTATAGGGTTTCTCTCCTGTGTGAGTTCTCTGATGGGCAATAAGGTGGGAGCTCCAGCTGAAAGATTTTCCACATTCAGTACATTTATATGGTTTTGCTCCAGAGTGAGTTCTTTCATGTTTACTAAGAGCTGAGTAATCTCTAAAAGCTTTTTCACATTCATCACATTTAAAGGGCTTCTCTCCAGTATGCATTCTCATGTGGGCAATAAGATGGGAGCTCCAGCTGAAAGATTTCCCACATTCAGTACATTCAAAAGGTTTCTCTCCAGTATGAGTTCTCTGATGTCCAATAAGATGGGAGTTCCAGTTGAAAGACTTCCCACATTCATTACATACGTAAGGTTTCTCTCCTGTATGAATTCTTGTATGCACAATAAGATGAGAATTCCAGCTGAAGGCTTTTCCACACTTATTACATTCGTAGGGTTTTATTCCAGTGTGAGTCCGTTCATGTTTAGTAAGGGCTGAACGATTCCTAAAAACTTTTCCACATTTATCACACTCGTAGGGTTTCTCTCCAGTATGAGTTTTCTTATGTTGGATAAGGTAAGAGCTCCAGATGAAAGATGTCCCACATTCATTGTATTCATAGGGTTTCTCGGCAGTGTAAGTGCTTGTATGTTGAGTGAGGAATGAGTCATACCCAAAGACTTTCTCCCATTCATTGTATTTATATGCTTTCTCTACAGTACTGATCTTCTGATGCTCCATAAAGGATGAGAAGTAAAAGATATTCTCATATTCTTTGTAGCCATACTGGTTTTCTCCAACATGAGATTGTGGGTGGTCAATAAATGGTGGGCTCTGGTTAAAGATTTGATGGCATTCCTTATATTCATAGAGTTTTCCTCCTGTATGCATTCCCTTATGATCACCAAAATGTAGTACATGATTGAAAGATTTAACAGCATCAGAACATGTGAAAAGATTATCTCCAGTTTGCATCCTTACAGGGTGAATAGGTTGCATGGAATGGTAGAAGGCTTTGTCATAATCATTATTTTCACAGGTAATCTTATCTGCATACATTATGGCGGAGTTACACCTCCAACTTTCAGCATTTGTATCAGGCTTATAGAAACGTTCTATTTGAGAAACTCTCTGAGATGGAATAAGGTTTAAGCTCTGGCTACATTCTGCCCCAAGTTCACAGAATGCAGAGCCGCTTGGAGATAATACTTGCTTTTGCATGAAGACCATTTGCCTCATAGCTGTACTCTGGTTCACGTGGAACATCTGTAATTGGTCTTCACACCCCAAAATTTCTAACCTGGAGAACCAAGGGTTACGCCACACATATCGTTCCAACTTCAAGCTGTGGGATTGTTCTTCCTCAAAAATGCTATGTGTTGGGATCAATGCTTTGCTTTCAGGATTTCTCACCGTTTCTGAAATAAACAGGGAAAAAAAAAGCTGTGAGAACACAGAAAAAAAACTTCTAAGAATAGAGTGGAAAAGGTGGGATTTTTTTGTCCGTATTATTGAAAAAACAAGTGTGAATGTGTTTTCAAATAGATGTGTAACGCGGAGGAAGGTTGTAACAGAGAAAAGTAAAACAGTGAAAATGAATGAAAATAGTTAACCACAATATGAAGCATATGCTGAATATAAAATCCACTCATGAGCATTTTCCCAGGGAAATGAGGACCAGATAAGGGTGTGCAGGAAAGAGGTAACTCTACATCTCTTGAGCTGCTCAAACTGCACATTCTCAGGAAGGCCTGTTTCATAACTGACCCTCCACCAACTCCTAGGACTTGAGGTCTCAGAATGCTGTAACTGATGAGTATTTTCCATGCTTATGACCTTGAAGCACACATACAATTTCTCTAAATAGTCTGTACTAACAATGTCCTTTACGGTAAACACCTGCTTTGCTTCTAGGGTCCAGGGCTTCCATGATTGCAGCCAGTCATGTGTGCCTAAATGGTTAACCCCCCAAAAAACACCCTGGGCTCCCAGCCTTAAGCAAGCTTCCCGTAGTAGATGACACTTCCCACATGTCTTAACAACTTGCTGCTAAAGGAATTAAGTGTGTCCTTTGCAACTCCAGGGGAAAGAACTCTAGAAAGCTTGTACTTGGTTTCCTCCTCTGAATTTAGCTTAAGAGCCTTTTCCTTCTGCTGTTACTTTATATCTTTTCACTGTAATAAAGCAGTACCCTGAGTACAATGACTCTGAGTCCTGAGAGTCAGTCCTTCTAAGTGAGTCACTGAACCTGGGGGTTCTCTTGGAGGGGTCCCTGACAAAAGGGCATCGTTAATACTATTAAGGTGAAAAAATAAAAATAACTGGCTTAACAAAGGACAGTGGAAAGCCCTGGCCGGGTAGCTCAGTTTAGTTAGCACGTCATCCCCATATAGCAACACCACAGGTTTGATCAGGGCACGTACAGGAATCAACCAATGAATGCATAAGGAAGTGGAAAAACAAATCAGTGATTCTCTCTGTCTCTCCCTTTTCCTCTCTCTAAAAATCAATTTTAAAAAAAGATGGATGAGCAACCAAGCTCTTAGGAATTACCATTTAAATTATTAAGGTGTACTAATTCCTTTCTGTGTTATAATGTCCTTACTGTTCCCGTTTTGACATTTGCCAAAATAGGAGAGGCTGGTGTTTAAGTATCACCAACACAGGATTCAAGCCAAGATGTTATGTATGATAATAGGCTTTCACATTACTTCCTACGCCGTAGAGTTCTGCCAGTAACACAAAATTCATCTCCTTAAAGGGCAAAAATCACGTGGTTTAAGGATATTCCTAAAGTTACAATTCCTCTAATAACTATGGAATCATTTGTGGAGCAATGACACAAGATGTGGACTTGAAAGGCAGCATATTGGGGTGAGACAGGTACAGTTATAGTCTGATCACCTGTATTTAAATACTGGCTCTGCCGCTATCATTGGAGGACTTTTCTGATGACTAAATGAGATTGTGAATTCATTGAAATGTCTGGCTAATTCCATACGTGAAGCCACCTATCAACAGTGCTGAGGTATCAGTCCCCCAACACGTGAAGAGGCATTAGCTTCCTACTGCTGCTGCAACAAACTCCCACACACGTCAGGTAGTGGCTTAAAATAACACCAACTACTGTCCTACAGTCTGGCAGTCAGATGTCTGAAATGGCTTTCACTGGATTAAAATCAAAGTAGCTTCTCTTCAGAAACTCTAGGGGAGAATCCCTATCTTTGCCTTTTCTCACTTTTATTTTTATTTATTGATTGACTTTTTCTTACAGAGAGAGAAAAAAAGAGAAACATCAATTTGTTGTTTCACTCACTCATGTATTCATTGGTTGATTTCTATATGTTCTGACTGGAAATCAAACCTGCAACCTTGGCATATTGGGACATTGCTCCAACTGAATGACCCACTCAGGGTCCCTTTGCCCACTTCTAGAAGCTGCCTGCATTCTTTGGCTTGTGGTTCTTTCTTCCATCTTCAAGTCACATAATTCAGCCTCTGCTTCTCTCAATCACATCTGTTTGTGTTGCTGACATACCTGCTTCACTCTTAGAAGGACATCATGACTACAATGGGACCACTGGGATAATCCATGTTCACAGGTTTAGGATAGGACTTCTGTTTTTCAGGGCAGGAGTTGTGTGTGTGTTATCACACAGCCTACCACAAGGTCTAAAACTGCACAACAGGACCTGGACCCTCGTCCTCTTTCTCTAGGTTTTTCTCCTTCTCACGTCACCATCCACCATTTTCCCCATTTTTCTACCTGAGTCTATTACAACAGAGGCCCTACTCTGCTCAAGAACTTATATTTATTATCAATTTCAAGGTTAGATCCTAGACGTTAAGAAATGATCTTCATACAGTTTTGAAAACTTCCAGCAGAAAATTCCTAAAAATACTAGCTGATCAAGTCACTGACCAAATGAACAATTCTTGTCCAACTTTATATTCATACTTGTGGCCTGAGTGTCAGAACCAGAGACAGGAAAGTACAGTCTCTTCTCCCAGGGAAGTCAGAACCATGTGATGAGAGCACAGAGTGACCAGTTATGAACAGTGCACACAATGAACCCCTGAGAGACTGTGGAGTTGTAGGTGTTGAGAGGGTAGGAGGTGAGATGATTAGCACAATCAGGGAAGGTTTCACACAGAGAAACAACATGAACTCAGCCTTTGGGCACAGCTCCAGTACAGACTGACACTAACACCCAAAGGCATTTGTGACCAGGCTGCTATGTGAAGAGGACACTGAAGGAGCCCTCTGAGTTAACTGCAGGAACTAGTCAGGAAATGAGAAAAACAATAGAAAAAATTGCAAGGTCTTGGTCTGGTGAGAGTTATTAAAAGGGCAACTTGAATCACTGTAGGTGTACTGACCTCATAATGGAAGATTTCAGCAACATAAACCTAGAAATAAGGCCTGAGGTGGTTAATAACAGGGAAGAATTTACTCATCAACTTGAGCTGCAGTTATGAGAAGGGATCTGCAAGGACGGCAGTGGATACTGAATGACACCACTGACAGTCAGAGGAAGAAAATCTCAGGAGTAGGAAGAGGGATTACTTCTTGGAGAAGGAGAAGCAGGAAGTCAGAATGACTTCTAAATGTGCAGCTTAGGGGACTCACTGAAGGAAGGCTGGTACCAGGAACATACACCAGGAAGATGAGGAGACAGTTTAAAAGGGAAAGATGAGATTCCTGGTTGTATCAAGATCAAGAAGACAGTTGAGTTGGTACAGAATGGTCAGCACTGATGGTGGGAGAGTTAAAGCCACCAGAATTCATGAAGTTTTCCAATCTGAATGGGGGACAAATGGTGAGGCTGCCCAATAATCCACTTGATTAGAGAGAATGGAAGATGTCCACCTTCAGGACTCAAAAGAGGCTATGATACACCCTTGAATTAAAACCAGCAATATAGCCCTGGCTGGGTGGCTCAACTGGCTGGAGCACTGTCTTATACTCCAAAAGGCTGCGGGTTCGATTCCCAGTTGGGTGCATATGGGAGGCAACCAATCAGTGCCTCTCTTTCCATCCCCTCCTTCGTCTCTCTCTCTAAAATCAATAATAAAAAATATCCTTGGTGAGGAGTAAAAATAAATAAATAATGAAAAATAAAAACAAAAACAGCAAAGTACAAAACACTGTATTTTATTCTACCTTTCAAAAGATGAAAAGTAAGTACCTGTCCCTACACGCCTTCAGTTGCATAAAGAAACTATGGAAACAAACAATAGATATACTGATTACCTGGGACAAGAAGTCAAGGCAAACAGCGCATTGAGGACCTTTGAAATTTCACCCCTTCCACCAAAGCACCCAAACACCTGGCAGCCAGCAGAATCTGTTTCTTCAGAATTCTATAAACTAACAAAAGCCTTGAAGCAGCCCAAGGAGAGCTTATTCTAGAAAAGTGGCTGCATTCTGATAACAACAGTGAGTGGTGTGACACTGGAACCGAGTTGCTGGCTCCCCAACTCAGCGGTATCCTCAGAAACTAACGGCCCGTATTTTTGGTACTGTTCAGAGTAGAACAGGCTGGACTTGTCAAAGCCTCATTCCCACAGAACAGTCATTATCCGACCTGTGAGGTGGTTCCCTGGGGCAGCCCTCATGCAGAGGCTTGCTGGGAACTCACACAGTGCTGGAATCTTCTAGGGAGGAACAACACTTACAGGCCAAGTTGGGAAGTCATTACAGTCTGAGACCGTTGGGGCTGACAATACACAAACCAAAAAGATGAAAGGAAACTGAGGCATGAGCTGTCCGTAGGGGCTTTGAAGAGGTTACTCCTGGGAATCTAGAAGACCATATGCACACAGATCATAATTAAATTTCCAGAGCCACAGTGAGAGACTTGAAGACAGCAAGAGGAAGCAGCTTATCGCAGACCGGGGGTGCTCCTCAGACGGACAGCTTCATTCTCACCAGAAACCATGTAGGCCAGAAAGAAAAACTGTCAACCACGAGTTGCATATCTGGCACAACGATCGTTCAACAATGGAGAAATAAAGACATTCCCAGATAAACCAAGCCTGGGAGAGTTTGCTGCTAGCAAACTTGCCCCATGAGAAACATGAAAAGGAGTCCTCTAGGTTGAAATGGAAGGACAGTAACTTGAAATAAACACCAATAAAGGTGTGGTTACATAGGTCGACAAAGCAAGACTGTATAAATGCATTTTTTGGATTGTAACTCCTTTTTATCTACCTGATTTTAAAGATACTATATAAGACAACAATTATAAATCTATGGTGGGTGACTCACAACATAAGAGATGTGACAATAACAGCATAAAAGGGGAAAGACAGATATATACAAAACCAAAGTTTTCGTATACTGTCTATGTTAAAATTGTATTAATCTAAACTAGATTATTATAAATTAAGGTGTTAATTTTATTTATTTTTAAAATTTATTTATTTTTTTAGACAGAGGGGAAGGGAGGGGGAGAGAGAGGAAGAGAAACATCAATGTGTGGTTGCCTTTTATGCACCCCTACTGGGGACCTGGCCCGCAACCCAGGCATGTGCCCTGACTGGGAATCAAACCAGCAACCCTTTGGTTTGCAGGTTGGCAGCGCTCAATCCACTGAGCCACACCAGCCAGTGCTAATTTTATTAAAAAAAAAAATTTTTTTTTATTTACTTTTTGGAAAGAAGCTCAAGGAGGGAGAAAAAGAGGGAGAGAAATACCGATGTCCAAGAGAAACATCAACTGGCTACCTCTCCCACGCCCCAGTAGGGGCCCAGGCCCACAACCCAGGTATGTGCCCTGGCTGGGAATCGAACCAGCACCCTTTTGGTCCGCAGATTGGTGTTCAGTCCACTGAGCCACACTAGCCAGGGCTAAGAGGTTAATTTTAAACTGCAGGAAAAGCACTAATAAAATAACTCAAATATGCACAGTAAATCCCTGGCTGGTATGGCTTAGTTGGTTGAAGCATCATCCTATAACCAAAAGGTCACTGGTTCAATTCCAGCCAGGTCACGTGCCTGAGTTGTGGGCCTGATCCCTGGTTGGAGCACATGTAGGAGGCAGCCGATTGGTGTTTCTCTCTCACATCGATGTTTCTCTGCTTCCTCTCTCTCTTGAAGAAAAACCTTTAAAAAATAATTTCAGTCCTGGTTGGTGAGGCTCAGTGGACTGAGTGCTGGCCTGTGGACTGAAAGATCGCCAGTTCAATTTCTGGTCACAGCACATGCCTGGATTGCAGGCCAGGTCCCCAGTTGAGGGCATGAGAGAGGCAACCAATCAAAGTATCTCTCGCACATTGATGTTTCTCTCCCTCTCTCTTTCCCCCTTCCAGGGTCCAGTCCTGGGGTCTGGGGTCTTTGGTCTGGCCCGGGCTTGTAGCCTACATCTGCCTGGTCCTGGCCTCGCTGAGCGTCTGCATCTCCAGAAAAGGGTCATCTCTCACACATCGATGTTACTCTTCCTCTCTAAAAAATAATTTAAAAAAACCCTATTTTCTCATTTGTTTTTATAGAAAAAATTCTGTGGCTACAGGCTACAAGTCTGGCAATTAATGAAGAAAGAATTCAGAAGCAGCTTAGAGAATGAGAAATTGAGAGAAAGGCACAGCAGAGAATAGAGGAGACATCAGGACAGTGGACGGTGAGGTGGGGAAAGTAGTTTACAAAAACCCACCTTGTTAAAGAGGAAGGCATATTGGCTTTGATTCAACAGCAGCAGAATGTCAACATGAGGGACAGGGCTCCTGGGAGGGAACTGTGAGTGTGTCTGAGGAAGGACTCCTCAAGGCCTCAGCCCATGTCTCTAACAAGGCGGGCTTGGGGGCAGGTCCCTTGCTCCCACCTGGGGCCTGCCCTCACCTGCACAGGTGCCCTGAGGACACGTTTGCTCCACCAACCATGGCTCTCCTCCTCGCTCCAGCAGGGAGATGACCTCAGGCTTGGGGATCTGATTCCCTGCATGTGAAGAAACATAGGACATGAGTCGCCTGTATAGCCTCCTTTGCCTCTTCCTCCATGACTCTCACTTGGGCAGAGTAAGCAGGGGCCCTCCTGCTTCCTGCTCTGGAAGCACTAGGAATTCACACTTGAGCCTCAAGATCCCCTCAGCCCTCTGAGGCCCCTGTGAGCCTCAAGCACATAGTACAGACGATATTGCCATGACAATCACCTCATTCACGAGGCAGCACCAGCCTTACCCACAGACAGCAGGTGCCCAAAGGTCTCCAGCATCACATCCCGGTACAGCGTCCTCTGAACAGGGTCCAGCTGCCCCCACTCCTCCTGGGTAAAGTCCACAGCCACATCCTTGAAGGTCACTGGTTCCTACAAGAGCACAAAGGTTCCTCCTCAGCCTGGGGCCACCCCCTTCAGTGTTTTCTGAGGGTGGAGTGAGGCTGACAGCCCTCTGCTGCAGTCAGGGTTGCACTGTGAGCATCTGGGGCCCTGCATCTCACATGTACTCAAGGAATTGGATATCTGGGCCACAGTAACCAAAACAAAAAGGAGGTTGTGCTGTCTGTATTTCTCTATCCTAAGTCCCATTTAGCTACAATGTTGGCATTACCCAGAACATAGAAGCAGCAGCGATCAAGGAAACTGAGGCCTGGGCAGATCTGAGAGAGGACATGCAAAAAATTGGCACTGATAGGTCCAGAGCTGGGGTCGGTTTCATCAAAGGAGGTTTGTTGTCAGCACTTTCCTGTGTGTGTGTGTGTGTGTGTGTGTGTGGAGTCAGGGAATCAACCACTGGGCCAATGCCCCCTTTTTCTGGAGATGCAGATGCTCAGCGAGGCCACGACCAGGCAGATGTAGGCTACAAGCACAGGCCAAAGACCCCAGACCCCGGGACTGGGCCCTGGAAGGGGGATCTGAACATTCGCAGACCACGCTGTTGGCCACAGCAGGAAGTCTCCTTTCCCAGATCGCCTCCGTCCCAAGGATCAGAGCCAGGGTGGGACAGGATTCAGCCAAGAGGAATCAGTCACAGTTGTTGTCAAAAGCACTCTGAGTTTTAAAAAGTCCAAACTGATGTTTTTAGGAAAAATAGAACCAGAAATACTCGCTAAAATACAAGTGGAAAAGATGAATTATAATCCAAGTCTGATTTTTACAATGAATGCACAGTTCATAGTCCTCCTAAGCAATCACCGTGAACTTTGGGGGTGCGGCCATTTCTGGAGGGGCAGGCCTCCCCTTGCAGTGGTGGCAGGGAGTCAGCTGGGCAGCATCGGGGATGTGATACACACCCTGCAGCCCCCATTTACATCTAGGCCCCACCTAAGACCTATCTGTGCATGACGGTCATCCCGTCCACCTGGAAACATGTTCTGGTCTCCCCGTGTGAGTGCAATTCCACTTGGACAGCCCTGTGACCCTCCACCCACCTCTCACAGCTGCATCCTCATGTCTCTTCTACCCCACGGCCAGCCTTTCTGCCCCTGCAAGCCATCTGATCAGGGTCGGCCCTCCATTCTGATCTTTTTCTGTCCTGAATAGCTCCCCCTTCACCTTCACAGTGAATGGCTGAAAGCACAGGGCTGTTCTACTCCTATGATTCCCTGACTCCACACATGCACTGGAAAGTGCTGGCCACAAACCTCTGATGAAACCGGTCCCATCCCTGGACACATCAATGCCAATTTCTTATGTTTCCTCGATCACTGCTGCTTCTACGTTCTGGGTAACGCCAACATATCACTCAAACATGACCTCAGGTGGAAAAGTAGAGACAGCACCTCAATGCATGTGCAGAGTGATTGCACTCAGGCGACCCGCCAGGAGGCTGTGCTCATCTCATACTATCTCGTCTCCTTAGGTAGCCTCAAAATCCAACTCCCACCCCTCCTGAGACCCCTATGTAAACCCTACACACCCACTTTAAAAAAAACACAGAAAAACTCTGGCCAGGTGGCTCATGTGGTCGGAGCGTTGTCTCATACACCAAAAGGTTTTGGGTTCAATCCCCAGTTGGAGCATATGAGAGGCAACCAATTGATGTTCTCTGTCTCACCCTTCCTCTCTCTCTAAAAATCAATAAACATACAGTTGGGTGAAGATTAAATATAAATAAATTTTGCCCTGACTGGTGTGGCTCAGTGGATTGAGTGCCAGCCTAAGAATCCAAAGGTCTCCAATTCAATTCCCAGTCAGGACACATGCCTGGGTTGCAGGTCAGGTCCCCAGTTAGGGGCATGCGAGAAGCAACCAGTTTCTTTCCCTGCCTTTCTCCCTTCCTTCTTCTCTAAATAAATTTTAAAAAATAGGACAGGGAACTTGACAACAGGAGGGGTCAGGCTGACAACACCAGCACCAGCTAACTTATCCGTCATTTGTAGGTGAGACAACTGGACACCCTGGGCCCACTGATGCCTCCCAGTAGGAGGACCCAGCACCACCTACAAAGTACTCTTGCCAAAATATGAAACCTGAATCTACTCCAGCCTCAAGCCCAGCACCAGTTTGTAACAGATAAATGGACAAGGGGCTTATCAATGACAGCACAAGTGCAAAACAAGGCAAACCACAGGGCCAGTGATCTAGTGTCTTCAGCAGATGATGCATATGCAATGCATGACCCTCATGTGGTCCCGGATTCAAACCGACCCAACAGTAAAAAGACATTTTCAGGACATGTGGGGAAAACTGAATGTAGACTGGGTATTAGGTAGTACTAAGAAATCATTGTTAGTTTTGTTGGGTATCTTGGCTATCTTGTAAAAGGTAGGTATCTCAGGTAAATAACCGGACATGTTCACAGGTAAAAACATATCTGAGATATGCTTGAAAATGCCTTTTTTTTAAAAAAAAAATGCTGTGTGTCAAAATTGATAGAAAGTCAGAAAGCTGAATGCTGACAGTGGCTGAAGATGGTGAATGTCGGTGTCTGTGATTGGCTACGGGCCCCTCAATTTGTCCTCCACATCCTCATCTTCAGAACCTGCAAAAGGGACCTTGCAGAGATGTGATTAAGGAGACTAAGGTGGAACCCTGGCTCGGTTGCTCAGCTGGTTTTAGTGTTGTCCCTCTAAGCCAAAATTGCAGATTTGATCCCCAATCAGAGTATTTACAAGAAGCAAACAGTGACTGCATTAATAAGTGGAACAACATAACAATGTTTCTCTGTGAAAAAATAAAATAAAATAAAAATAAAAAGAGGCTGAGATGGGGCGATGAGCCAGGTGGCCTCAACGTCATCACAAGAGTCCTTGTGAGTGAAAGAGGCAGACCAGAGGATCAGAGCCTGAGATGTGACACAGGATGCAGAAGTCGGGTGATGGAGTGTAACAATGGAGGAAGGAGCCAGGAACCAAGAAATGTGGGCGGCCCCTTGAAGGTGGGAAAAACGAGGCAGCTCCGGAAGAGATGCAGCCCTGCCACCCACAGAGCCTTCTGAGCTCCAGAGCAGGTGAGGGAATTTGTGTTGTTCTGAGCCGTTAAGTTTGTGGTGATCTGTTATAGTGGCGACAGGAAAGGAATGCACCTCACGGTCCACCTCTGGGCTTAAAGATCTACTAAATTTAAGAAAAGGTTTTAGTTTTAGTTTTTAATCCTCACCTGAGGGTATGTTTTATTGATTTTTAGAGAGAGGACAGAGAAAAAGGCTGACCTGAGACAAAAACAGTGATCAGTTGCCTCCCGTAGGTGCCCTGACCAGAGAACCAACCTGCAACCTAGGTATGTGACCTAAGCGTCATCCCACGCACCAGAAGGTCATAGTTTCCATCCCCAGTAGGGGCATGTAGGCAACTGATGAATGTTTCTCTCTGAAATCAAGAAACATATCCTCAGGTAAAAGAAATAGCGCAGTCAGTGAAGGGAAGAGCCATGGATACATAGCCATGCACATCCTCCTGGAAGACAGGGAGCAGAGAAAAGGGGTGCCCTCAGGAAACGGGGTCCACAGGAAGGGGCTGCTACAGAAGCGAGACCCAGGAGAGGCCCTGGGCTGAGCTTACAGATACAGTGAAGGCAGGAGTGAGCGAGGCTGTACACAGATGAGGGGAAGGTGTGTGTTTATGAGAGCTTTCCCATTTGCCCCCCATCCCCCCACCAGCAGCCCTGACCTCTCAGACTGGAGTATGGGTGGCAACCCCAGAGGAGCAAAGACCTCTTTAGCCCGACGATGGGAGAGGGTAAGGGCTAAACAGGCCAGCTGCAACCTGGAACATGGATGCAGAACCGGCCTTATGATCCTGGCCCACCCAGGCCCACTGAGCTTAGAATGAGATTCATCAGGAGACATACAGGGAGGGAGCAAGGCCGATTAGAAACTAGACCTGACTCTGAAACAGCCTCACAGCGCTTTACCAGTAAACACGGACTGACCAGAGAAGCCCTCGAGGCATGACTGAATTCAGCGGCCAGGAGGACACAGAATTCAGGCAGCTGCCGCACACAAGGTCAATGAGCTATAATTCCAAGTCTCAGGCTGGGGAGATTTCAGTGTAAAACATAGCAGAATAACAGAAGAGAGGCTGAGAGGACAGGAAAAAGTATACAGAATACAAAGAAGAGATAGGCGACATAGCGATTGCTTCTGGCCCACCGTGTAACCCAAGGCCCCAGAAAGAAGTCATGGGGGTGAAAATGCCAGCCAGGCTCCCCAATTCCCTCACCACCACCAATAGAAGGACATGAAATATTAAGACATCAGAGACATGGCAGTTTGTTCAGGATGTACTGCAACTAACAGAAGACCCCAGAAAGAGAATATAAAGGAAAGGACAAAAGGGAATTTTTAAAATGTAGGACTTCTTCAAAAAGAAACACAAAAACACTAGACAGGCAGACAGATGTTTGACATATAAATATAACGAAAAACATCTGAGTGATAAAAGATACCACAAAGCTAAGACGAGCTACAGACTGGGAGAGGTTCATTTCTATCTGGATCAAGATCAGAATGTATGTAAAATGACCACAATTCTGTAAGTCACAGCCTGTAGAAATCTAGGAATGGGACAGGGCCAGAGAAGGAAATATGGACTGCCAATGACGACATGAAAGAACATTCAGCCTCACTAGTAATCAAGGAAATGCAAATTAAAGTAACGCAGTATACCACTTTGGTGGTGAGGTAAGCAAAAACTAAGTATCGTCAAGCCGCTGCCAAGACACAGGAAGTGAGTACTCAAGGAGCCCTGAGACCTGGCTTCAGCTCTTCAGAACCATTAGGCAGTACTAGTCATATGGAAAACACACCCTAAAACTCACAAGACTCCTCAGTAAACACCTGTTATGTGTGCATGAAGTGAAACTACAGGAACATTCACACAGCTTGGGGTGGAACAGCAAACATGATGCGGGGGGGGGGGGGAGAGGGGGGAGGAAAGGCTTATCAGCCCAGTCATGGGAGGAATGAACAGTCCTTGTCTCTGATGGGGCAAAAGGAATGAACCGGAACTCTATTTAGCACATGGATGGACTTCAACATTCACTCTGAGTGTGCAAAGAATGCTCTAGAAAAGCTATGTGTATAGTATAAAAAGCATTTAAAAAAAAAGAGGTCTTATTATCTGTTACGTCTATATAGTTTATCTGCATGAGTATGAAAATGGATTAGCTGTGTGCACTCCAGTTGTTCTGAGGGAGGGTGGAAAGGAAATGATCAGCAACTATATTAAAAAAAAAGGAAAATGAAGCAAGTATGACCAAACATTAAAAACTGCCAATTTAGAGTAATGAGGACCATGTTTTGTTTGATTACTTTTTATTTTTCAGTAATTATGAAATTTGTCAAAATACTTTAAAAGAAGTATGTCCAGAATAGAAGATGTTATCAAACTGGAAGGGCCATGGACTAGCAGGGAAAAAAAAGACCCCAAACTGAATAGGGCCCCATGTCAGGGTCCACAGTTCATGGAGGCCTCAGGTATGCAAAGAAAAAGGCAAACTCGAGGGAAATGGCAGACGAGTGGAGACAAGAGGGACACTCTTGCGCTAGGAGGGGAGCTGCAGGTTTCACTGCTCCCTGAAACTCTGGGGCGAGAGGACAGGACAGAGAAGGGCCATGCCCCCAAAAGGGAGAGCCCTTCCTTCAGGTACACAGGTAACCTATACCCAACAGCTCATACTTTGCAAACATCACCTGCTAGGATGATCTGCAAAGATGTTTCACCAAAAGTCTTGCAAACACACAAATGTGTTTATCAAGGCATTTTAAAACTGTACGGACCCTAACACATGAGCCACATGTTTGAACCACGTGAGGATCTGGGGGAGGCTGCAGAGGGTGCTGAGCCAGGTCTCAGCCGTTTGTCTGACAGGATCTCCTGGGACTGCTTCATTACCTGAATTCTCCGACACGGAGCCCAGGAAGTTGAGATGGCCTCTTTGGAAGCTTCAGAATTTCATGATTTACTAATATTTTAGTGCAGGATCTTTGCAGAGAAGAAAATATCCCCAGATTGTGCATGTTCTTGACACAACCAAGGATGGCTGTAGACTTATCAGATTACTGGTGTTCTACGTGCATAATAATCATGCAGAAATCGTTGGTGGATTGTTACAGAAGGGTTGGATAGTTTTCATATTTGAGGAGTCTGGCTGGGGATTTTAGATAGGCTGGAACATTATTTTCCCTATCCTTCAAAGTGATAGGATCTGGCTGAAACATATTTCCCAGAACAGACTCTTCAGATAACAAGGGAGGACGGCATTTAATGTTTTTACCAAGTGAATGCTTTATTTCAGGAAATATTTCATTTGGGGGAAACAATAGAGGGATATGAGGCTCTTGTTGCTTAATATAAAACTCATGATTCAAGTCTTGAGTTTCCCACATGAAAAATCCAAAGTGAGTGTAAGGAGGGACGTTCTCAGAATTCACAACTCTTCAGACATTGAGGGTGCTGTTATTTTAATTCTCCATTTCATTTTCTCATCATTAACTCTAGTAATTCTCAGAAACCCTCACTTATGTTAACAGCAGAGTGCAGCACAGTGGTTATTGGGGCTTTTTCATAGCACTTTATTACAACTAACTTTTGTTCCTGAGAGGCTGATTCGGCGCCCATCTTTCAACCCAGCCTAGCTTTACTGCTGTTACAGGATCTAGAAACAACTGTGCCTTGCAACAGCAGCAAATCTCACAGCCACGGAGTTCTGATGCCAGACAACCCCCATCTGGCTCCACTGAGATCAGGGCTCTGATCCCCCAGATGGCAGTGCTGGCACATGTGGCGGCAACTTACCATGCACTTCACCAGTCACCTTAGAAACAGTGGGAGGTTTCCTTAATTTTTTTAATCTGGGAGAAGGTATGAAGTTGAGACATTTTAATATTTTTGTATCACAGTATCTCACATTTGCTTGATTCATTATTTTAACTTAGAAATGACCTAAATATAATAATGAAACTATTTTTCTTCGTCTTGCACAACATGGGGTCAATGGAGTAAACATAAAAAAAAAAAAAAAATTGATGTATTAGAATGAAAACCTCTTGTTTAGAAACACAGAAACTGAAAACGGTGAGTTAAAATGGCTGCCCGAGTCATTAAAAGAAATACTGAAACATACTACAACATAGAGGACCCTTGAAAACATGCTAAGTGACAGAAGCCAGGCACAAAACACCATATATTGTATTATTCCCTTTATATAAAATGTCCAGAATCGACAAATACATTGAGAAGTTTAGTGGTTGCCAGAGGCTAGGTTAGGGGGAATGGGGAGTAATAACTAATGGGCATTAGGGTTTCTTTTGGGAATGATGAAAATATTCTAGAATTAGATATTGGTGATGGTTGTGCAACTCTGTGAATATACTAAAAACCACTGACCTGTACATTTTAAAAGGTTAAACTTCATGGTATGCGAGTAACATTTTAATAAAGCTGTTAAAAAGTGTTTTTTTTCCTTAAGTGGCTGCCTCTAGTGAGAATGATGGGCAGGAGGAAAGAAGGGAGGTGCCACCTCTCTACATCATCAGTTCTATCCTTTTTCTCTCAGGAGTGACCTTCATGTCCTTTAGTCACAAAGTCCTTCTGCTTCGATTCCCTAACACCCCTCGTATCTTGCTCCCAGACCCTGGTCACACTAAGGCCTGAAATGCCAGCCTGATTCCCACATCTCTGCCAAGGACCCCTGTCCAGCTACACTGTGAACCCTGGCCTCTCCTGCTCCCAACTCTTTGGAGGCTCCTTATTATCACCAGGATGGGGGCTGGTGATAATAAGCCCAAATCTGACTGGGGTCAGGCTTCACCCAGACACTGGTCGTGCAGCTCCCCCTCACCCACCCTCACTGTGGTGCCACAGGAGACTAGACCACTGCTCGCCAGGTCATGCCCATCCAACTGATGCACCGGTGTCCTGGGCAGCCTCCCTCACCACAGCAAAGGACCCCAGCTGCCCTGGGCCCTGTGATCTCCGTGCAGACTCTGTCCCACCTCCCACGGCATTGGCTGGGCTCTGCTCCTCCAGGGCTCCGAGCCTCCCCAAGTATCTCAGGCTTCTGTTCCAAACCACATGTGCAGCACTAGGCAGGCCATGAGGACTCAGTAGCTGAGTGAAGCACTCTGGGAGCTCCTTAGGACAAGGGCTGAAACTTGTCCTTGTTACCCTCTCAGAAAGCACAGCACTCACCAGACATCAGCCTGAATCTGGCACTGAATCCATGAGGGACGGTGGGAAGAGGAAAGCAGAGGGGGCTGCCAACCAAGGGGGCTGCCCCTCATTCATCAAAACAACCTACAGCACAGTCAGGGCTCAGGACTGTGAACAGCCTGGCAGACAGCGAGGCTCCGAGTCAATGAAAACTGAATTCTCCCTGTCTGTGCTCAGGAAGCGATACACTTCTGACTGATTCCTTCTCTATCGAAACTAGTTGTTGTAAATTGAAGAACACAAGGATTGGGATGGCTGGGGATAACCTGAGAACCTTAGGGAACAGGGTGGCCCTTTAGGAAAAAGCAAAAGCCCCATCTCACCTGGATCTGGGCTGTCGGGAGCTCAGCAGCCCTCCTTCCCTCCTCAGGGGTATCCTCCACACGCCAGGCAGAGTCCTGAGGACACAGAGCTGGGGGAGGAAAGCAAAGTCACAGAAGCACAAAATCCCTGCGGAAGTGTGCCCATTTGGGTCCTTATTCTGGGATGGGACGGGGTCGGGGGGGGGCAGCCCTCCTTGTTGGGCAAGGGGAGAGACCCACTTTCTCATTTTACAGATGAAAGAAAGGGGGCTCCAAAAAGATAAGGAATGTGCGTAAACGCATGAGCCCACACAGTCCCCCTTTGCTCTGAGGCACCACCTTTGAGAAGCAGTGTCTATTCACAGCCATACTGGGCCTGAATTACCACACATTCATTCTCAGGCACCCTCTCCTGGAGACGTCAGCACCACGTCATGGCCCTGGCAGAGCCTTCTGACCCCTCCCTGTTCCAGCTCTGCACCGAGACAGATCTGGACCAGAACCCTCCTACCCCAAAGTCCCACCTGGCTCCCCAGATCGGATCCCCGGCCATGGTAGGTCACTGCTGGGAGAGTCCACATCATGGGAGCCAATGCAGTCAGTGGGAGCACAGGCCCTTGACTCACCCCAGGAGACCCATGGGTCAACAGCTGCCATCCCCCAGGACTGGTCCATAAGGACACCTGCACCAGAAGACGAGGTTAGAACAAGGAAGGGAGAGGCACCATGACACCAATCCCAGTGACTGAAGGCCACAAAATGGAAAAGAAGGCCTCTCTCACCAATGGGCAAAGCAAAGTTCCACTAACAATGCCCAGAGGCACGTGGAAAGATCCACCACAAGAAACTAGATCTATACCTGAAACGCACTGATGGCTCACAGTCAGGAAATTTACCGATATGATATAGCCACAAAACAATTAATAACAGAACCCCTTAAATGGCCCAAGAGGCTTTCTGATAAGATGTTTAACATAACCTAATTTTTTAAAAGATTTTATTTATTTCTTTTTAGAGAAAGGGGAAAGGAGGGAGAAAGAGAGGGAGTGAAACATCAGTGTAAGAGAGAAACACAGATCTGCCCTTTCGTGTACGTGCCCCGACCCAGGCCCGGGAATGGAACTTGTGACCGATCAGTTTGTGGGACGATGCCCAACCAATGGAGCCACATGGGTCAGGGCAAACGTAACCTAATTTTTTTCAACGTATAAATAACAGAAGATACTTCCTTGATGTCTTTGGTGACAAATACCTGAAAACCTCACTTAAAGGCACAACACACAACTAACATCACACTACTATTTAACATTGATCTTAAATTACAGGCCAATTATGCGCAAGTGGAAAACAATAATAAAATTAGAATACGGGAGTAGTAAAGAAATTTCGGTTGTATGACTGTTTTCTAAGACATCCCACGAATAACCACAAAGTCTCTGGGAACTAATAACACATATCAGGAGACGACTGACTACGAAATGTATAAAAATTACACTTTTTACACCACGTTTCCCCTTTCGCCAATAACCAAGTTGTCTAATTCTGTACCAAAACAGACACCCAGAAGCCCTCAGATCCCACTCCCTCAGCCCCGGCCGGGAAGACCCGCCGTCGACGGGACAGGGACTCACCCCAGGAGGCCCACGGGTGGGCGGCAGACATCCCGCAGGAGGAACGGACCCGGCGCCTGCCCTGGAGGCGGGTGCAGCACGCGGAGCGAGTTCACCCCCAACCTGTGACAAACGTGAAAAAGACAAAAGCCTTTCTCACAGAAAATGCAGTGGAACAAATCGGCGCCCTCCGCCACAGAGGCAACAGCGGTCCCGGGCAGCGGCGTTTTCCTACCAGGCCCCGGCCGGGCCGCTCCGCGGGTCAGGGCGCGTCGGGACTGCGCTCCACCTCCGGGAGCCGCCCTGCCCGAGCGAAAACGGTTAATCCTAACTTCTGTCCCCGCCGGGTCCGGAGTCCAGAGCGCGCCCCGCTCCCACGTCCGGGGCTCCGAGCCAGTCCCGCGACCCCTGAGGGCACGCGCGCCCACGGGCCGGGCTCGGCGGATTCCCGGGTGTGTGCCTGACGCGCCGGGAGCGGCGCCAACGCCGGGAGCAGGCGCACCGCCTTCGGGACCGCTGTTTGCAACTTGACGGAGTCCCGCGGCCACTGCGTGGTTCAGGGAACCCGGCGCTGTCCCCAGCCCGCGTCTGACCTCCTCCAGCGCTTTCAGCGAACGGGCCCGAAAGCGAAACGCCCACTGGCTGTGAAATGGGGGTGTCTCCCACCCACGGCCCGGAGGCGCCCCCCTCGCCTGCTCCTCGGCCTCGCGCCCCACATCGCCACCCCCGACGCACAGCCCTGTCCGGGAACGCGCACCGGCCAGCGGTCCCTCACCTGGTCCGCAGCTGCCGGACGCTCCCCCCGGGCCGGTCCGCGCGCCCTCAGAGGCGACTTCGCGGGCGCTACGCTGGGCGCTCGGCTTTTGTTTAGCTCCGAGCTCGCCGGCCGCGCGCGGTCTGAGGGACAAAGACGTGCTGGGCTGGGGCCGCGACCCGGCGCCAGGGGCCGTCCAGCCGGGTGAGCGCGGCCGCGAGCGCCGAGGCAGCGGGTCGGCGGGCCGAGGGAATAGGGAAGCGAAGCCGGCGCCAAAGGGCAGGCGCAGGACCCACCCGGGCGCCGCGCCGGCCCCAGTGGCAGGCACCGCCTCTCTCCGCACGTTCACCCGACCCTCCGGGCCCCCTCCGCCGGGCGACCGCCTCACCTCGGCCGCGGACAATGGCGACCGCTCCCCCGGCGTCGACCGAGACGCGCCGCGCGGGCTGCTGGGAGGTGTAGTTCGAGAGGGCGCACTTCCGGCTTGGGCGAAAGCGCCGCCAGGCCCCTCGCTGGGCGCTTCTCCGCCGGGAGTTTCTCTGCTCGGAGTCTCTCATCCTCGCGGGGAACTTGACCCCGGGGGCTGCTCGGTCCCGGTGGGCGGTACTGTCCCCGCTCCAGACCGCTCTCTACCAGCGCTGCCCAATTTGGTATGGGGTGGGGGGGTTGTGTCTATCTGTCTAAGTCAAGCCCAGAGAACTCCCCCCCGCCTCAGTTTGCCCATCTGTAAAATGGGCGCTCACAGTAGCCACACTGAGCAATAGGAACTTGGTGAAGATACAGGTGTGGATGGGAAAAGTACTCTTTGGAAAGTAACCTCACAAGGTGCTTCAATGATAAATTCCTAATTGGGCAGGTGTTCTGGGTGGTCAGGCCGCTCACACGTTACTTCTTTAGTAAAAGGCCTTAAGAAAGCTCTCCATTATTCTTGTGCATCTAAGTTAACATCTTTGAAATAAGCGTAACCATCCTCAAGAGAGCGCACAATCTCCTTCACTATCCTGTAAAACAATCCTCACCTATTTTCTCCCCCCTCCATGTAATCTCCATTACATCCTCTCTTTAATTTCAAGTGCACAAGAGAAACTGCAAAACTGTCCTTTGAAGCATTTGAAGTCTTGCTTCCCAGGAATGGCATAAGTTTGTGCTCACACAAACTTTTTTCTTTATCTTTTACCTGAGGACATGCTTATTGATTTTAGAGAGGGGAAGGGAAAGAGAGAGAGGAAGAGAAACATCAGTGTGAGAAACATGAATGGGCTGCGTCTCATTTGCAGCCGACCACACCCGCGGAGGGGGTGAACCTGCAACCCAGGCAGGTGCTCTGACCTGGAATCCAACCCATGACCCTTAGGTTAATGGGATCATGCTCCAACCAACTGAGCCACACTGGCCAGGGCACAAACTCTTATAAAATTCCTTACAGATCTGGATGTTCTACCCTGACACAAGATTTTGAAGAAGAGGCTCTCATGATACCCTTTTCCACATGAGGAACCCAATTTTGAGCTTTCGCTTGAATATGAAGCCCTACTGCTGGGAGCGTCGGGGCTTGTTCCCCAAACACTCTCTAGATGACAAAGCTTGATGGGAACATAACTTATCATCGAACTATTCTGTTTTTCCCCCTTGAGTTACTATTTACTGAGTGGCACTGAGGAACAGAGCAGAGAAGCAAGCCAATAAAGCCTGTCTTGGCAGCTGCCAATCAAGGCCACCATTCAAAACCACTGGCAGGGAGGAAGAAAGGTTCTTCACCAAGGATGGAGAGGACTCGTGGGCGACGACCCCTAGCCTCCAGCCCTAGCTGGCCCGGAGATCTCTGGTGGCAAAGACCACTGACAGCCCTCGGGGGCCCTCAGAGCCTCCTTCCCGCCAGTGGTGGGTCTGACCCTCTCCCAGAGCTTCCCTGGCCCCCAGACCCTTCTTTCTTGTTCCCTATTTGCCTTGCCTATTCCTCTGTCCACCTTCTTTTCAACAGCACGGTGGTCAGAGAGGCAGCAAGGGCTGGAGAGCAGAGCCTCAGCGGCTCCGTGATGGCTCTGGTTTTGAGTGAAACAGCTAGAGCATGCTTCTGAGCAGAGAAGTGATGAGCTGGCTTCATCAAAGGATCAACCTTTGCTTCTCTAGTCTTGAGAATAGCAGAGGGCAACCTCAGGCTCTTATGCTCTTTGAAACAGCTGAGCATCTTCTGAGCAGAGAAGTGAGAGCTGCTTCATCAAAGGACAACCTCCTCGTCTTAGAAAACAGAGCTTTTTGAGTGAAACAGCTAGAGCATGCTTCTGAGCAGAGAAGTGATGAGCTGGCTTCATCAAAGGATCAACCTTTGCTTCTCTAGTCTTGAGAATAGCAGAGGGTAAGGGAAGGACTAGTGACTCGTGACAAGAAACCAATACAATGATGAAAGATAATGGCAGCTGCTTGGATCAGAGTGGTAGTGGTCAGTGGTCATATTGTGGACAGTAGTACTTTAAAGGCAGAGACAGCCGTTGGTTGGTTCAAGGTTTTGCATCATGGGCCACAGTTCAGCCTGTAACACTCTCAATCCAGAGCTGTTCATCAAAGGCCTTGTTGGATGGGGAATGGGTTACAGGTATGTACAGATACTGCTTCCTTCTGGCCCAACCCCTCTCCCACTATAGGTACCCAAGTTTTGTAGGACAGTGCCATTCTCTCTGTGCTGTGAGGTGGCAAAGACTGAGCTGCACAGTCATCTTGATTGCCTCTATTAGGAGTCTGAGCTGCCACTGAGGTTTCTGAGTGGGAAGACCCCAGAGCAGTAGGAGAATCTAGATTTTCCCAGGACAAGCCCTTTGCCTGAGAGATGCAGAGAGCGGTCACCCCATGCCACACGAAGGGCTCTAGCTCATTCCATTTCATCATAGCCAGATGAGAATAAAAGGTAAAGGGAGGGGAGTTCAGGGCACACTACCTGTAAGCAAGTAAGCCATTTTATGAGCTGGTTCATAGTTACCGATAGTAAAGTAACTAACACAAGTAAGCTAGACTTAAACTTAACTTATGCTCTCAAACCCTGGGTTTATCTCATGTTCACCAACTAAAAATTTAGGAGTGACAAAGTTCAACACTATGGGGTTCTGAGTCTCTCCACCCTCCCCCCACTACACACACATACACGGAAATCAATATGCTTCTGCACTGACAGGGGCCAGGTGGAAGCTTCTGCAGCACTTCAGGGTGCCTCTACCACCAGCTCCACAATCAGTCTGCGATGTCTCACAGCTCAAAATGAACGTTAGAGAGCTAATCATTTTTCTTTTATTAACATTTGTAGAACATAATAAAGTTGTAAGGAAATCAGTGAAACCCAGTGAACGCACTCCTTGGCTGGGGAAAAAAAAAGAAAAAGAAAAACACAGAACATTACTCATGCAGTGGAAACCCCTGTGTGCTCATCTCCAGCAGAAACTTCTCTTCCTCCAGAGGCAGCCACTATCCTGAATGCGACGTGGGTCCCTCGCTGTTTTTCGAACCCTTACAACACGTGTGTATTCAAGAGAAGTACAAAGAGAAGTACTTTGATGTTTTGCTTTCATAGAAATGTTATGGATATCATAAGATTTCATCTGCAGCTCTGTGTGTTTATCATTGCAAGATTTGCCCTTTTTGATATGTAAAGCTCTAGTTCATTTATTTTCACTGCTCTATAGTTTTAAAATTTCTTTTAAATTCAAATAATACAATTCATTGCAAATAAAATCATTTAGAAAGATCCCAGACAGTGTGGCTCAGTTGCCTGGGGCATCTTCCAATAACTGAAAGGTCGTGGGTTCAATTCCCAGTCAGGCACATACCTAGGTTGTGGGTATAATCCCTCGTCCGGGCGCATATGGGAGGCAATGGATCAATATTTCTCTCTCACATCGATGTTTCTCCCTCCCTTGCTCTCTTTTTAAAAGCAATGAAAAAAATGTCCTCAGGTAAGAATTTTTTAAAAATTATTTAGGGAAAAAGGAACAAGTCTTGCTTAAAATCCCACCACCTGTGGGTAAGTGATGTCAACATGGGTGACCTTCTTCCAGAGTTCCCCTGGGAGAAACTTCTGGTTGTATTGAGTTGGGACCACTGATGTTGTTATAAATCTAATTTTAATCTAATAAATGTGCCCTTTGATTTCTGCACTATAATCACTGAAACATTCTCCTATTGCTGAGCATGTTTAGTTAGCATTTTGTTGTTACAGACCATCCCATAACAAAGGTACTGTGCCCCCATGTACTGACTTCCATTAGGAGACTGCAAAGGTGAGCTTGTTGAATCAGCTCATAAGCATATATTTGGACACTTCCAACCTGACCACCCTATAAAAAGTGAGCACCTATATAAACGATCCATGGATGCTGAA